AATGCCAAACATCCATATACTCATACAAAGAATAGAAAGACAGGTTCAATTTAGGAGCCTCATATTACCTGAATGCTAAAAGCTATCAAGGACAGTATAAAAAGGAAAATTACACAATTACCTCATTCATGAATAAAGATTCAAAAATCTTGAGCAACTTATTAATAAAACAAATTCAGCAATATATAAGAGAATGATGTTTCATAACAATATTGGACTTATTTCAGGAATGCAATGTTAACATTAAAAATGATCAATGTAATTTTCCACATTAACTCAAGAAAATGGAGAAAATAATATGATAATTGCAAAGATGCAGGAAAAGCATTTACAATGCAACTTATTTTTAAAAAAATTCTCATGGAAAATTGGGAATGAAAGAGAATTTCCAAAATCTGTTAAATATTGTCTGAAGAAAATCTATATCAACATTTTTGTGAATAATGACAAGCTGATTTGAAAACTTATATATAAACACAAAGAGCCTACATAGCAGTAAAATTTTAAAAAAAGGAATGCTTGTCATTTGCAACAAAATGGATGCAACTGGAAACCATTATACTTAGTGAAATAATTCAGCCCCAAAAAGACACATACCATATGTTCTCCCTGATCTGTGGTAACTAATAGAGTACATAAAAGGTAATCTATAAAATGAAATTGATACTCTGAGATGTGATGATTTTTTTTTTTTTTTTTGACAGGCAGAGTGGACAGTGAGAGAGAGAGACAGAGAGAAATGTCTTCCTTGGCCATTGGCTCACCCTCCAATGGCTGCCACAGCGGGCGCACCGCGCTGATCCGATGGCAGGAGCCAGGTACTTATCCTGGTCTCCCATGGGGTGCAGGGCCCAAGCACTTGGGCCATCCTCCACTGCACTCCCTGGCCATAGCATAGAGCTGGCCTGGAAGAGGGGCAACTGGGACAGAATCCGGCACCCCGACCGGGACTAGAACCCGGTGTGCCGGCGCTGCAAGGCGAAGGATTAGCCTAGTGAGCCGCGGCGCCAGCCTGAGATGTGATGATTTTTAACAGTCTCTATCTCTACAATTGAGGAACAGTGTTGTGGGTTTTTTTTCTTCATACTATTTGTCAAACTTTTTACTTAGTGTAGGGTTAATCTTATGAGTATAAAGTTAACTGAAATGAGATCTTTGTAAAAAAAAAAAAAGAAGAAGAATGGGAACAGGAGAGGGTGGAAGAAGAAGGGTGCAAGCATGGGGGGGAAGGCGTGTAGAGTGGGAAGTATCTCTGTGTTCCTGAATCTGTGTATATGAAATCTGTATACCTTAAATAAAATAATAAAAAATGAATAGTTAAAATTCAAAAGGCAGAGAGTAACAAATGCTCTCAAGGATGTGGAGACAGGGAACACTTAGACACTGTTGGTGGGAATGTAAATTATCCCAGCCACTGTATGGAAATTTCTGAAAAATCTAGAAATCGATTTGTCATACAGTCCAGCAATCCCACTTCTCAGTATATACCCAAAAGGCAGAACCAATTTGTATCAAAGAGATACCTACACCACCATATTTACAGCAGCACTGCTCACAATAGCCAAAATGTGGAATCAACCAAGGTGTCCATCATCAGATGAATGAATAAAGAAAATGTGGCATAGATACATAATGGAATGTTATTTAGTTATTAAAATAGCTATTTTATAGCGACTCAGCCATAAAAACAATGAGTTTCTACCATTTGCAGCAAAATGGATACAACTGGAGGATATCATGTTGAGTAAAACAAGTGGGATGCAGAAAGACAAATGCTGCATGTTCTCTCATATGTGGAAGCTAAAATTAAAAAAAAAAAACAGAAACAAGAACGAAAGAAATTACTGTGTGTATTAGTATTGCTATAAATACAACTTTGCCAAAATTTGTTTTATATGTTGGTCAAACTAGTGATTAAGAATGTTATGCTATGATAGCTTTATGATCTTTGATTACTTTGAAATTTAATGTGCATGGGGGAAATTCTCATTTTTCCATCTGATTATTGTTCACAGCCTTTGCCTATGTTTACACTAAACTATGGTGTTTTTGCTTTTTATTTATTTAACTCTATTCACTGGTACATTAAGCCTTTGAATGAAATACATATTAAAGATATGCTATCTCAAAAGTGAAGAGGAGAAGGGAGAAAGGGAGAGGGAGTAGAGATAGAAGGGAGAGAAAAGGAGGCATGAGGGAGAAAGGGAGTATCATCATGTTCTAAGAATTGCATCTATGAAATATATTGACACTCTTAAAGACTAAAAGATTCAATATAAAATTTAAATTTTTTAAAAAGCCAAAAACTCAACAACAACAACAAAAAAGACAAAGAACCAAGAAGAACCACAATGATCTTGACAGATGACAAGATGGGAAGACTTGCTCATCTAGGCAATAAATGAACGGTCTGATATTGGTGTGGTATTAGTACAAAGACAGATAAATAGAGGAATGCAACAGACCCATACACACATGGCCATTTAACTTATGACAAAACTGATCATGCAGTGAAATGGGGGAAAGATTTCACATTACAGGTGAGAGCTGAAATGTTGTCTATATACTGACAATACTGCTGTCTACTGACATTGAAGATAACACATACTCCTACCTATATACTCAATAGTTATAAGTGCATATGGGCACCAGTGGAAACATAGAAGTTTGCTTATAGAGCATATTTATAATGGCACCAATTACAAATTAATATATGCATCAATAATGAACTGGCTAAATAAACTCTGATGGGAGTGGGTATTTGGCACAGTGGTGAAGTTACTGCTTTAGGGGGCCAGCATCCCATATCATATTCCTTGGGTTAAAGTCCCATCCCTGCTTCCTCTTAATGCGCACTCTGTGTGGAAGCATGTGATGACTCAAGTTCTTGGGTGCCAGCCATGTTTGTGGGAGACATAGATTAGCTTTGGCCTGGCTTTGCCCTAGCTCTTATTGGTATTTGAGGGGTGAACTAAGGGACGGAAAATCTCCTTCCCTCTGCTTTTCAAATAAAATGAATAAATGAATAAACCTAAGATATCCATAACAGAACACTTTATAACAACTGAAATGAACAGACTACAGATATAAAGAACATGGGGCGAATCTCACAAATAATGCTGAGCGAAAGAAGACACAGAAAAATAAAAGGCATGAGTCCGTTATTCTAAAATTCAAAAGCATGCAAACCTACATGCACTGTTTAGAGATATGGACTTAGGAAATAAAGATCTTTTTTAAAAGGATCAAGAAATGATTCCTACAAGGCAAGATGGCAGGCCCAGTTAGTGAGGAAGAAGGAGGTTAGGATTGGGAATGGGCACAAAAAGGAGTTGCAGGTGAAGAGCTGATTCCATTTCCCACATGGTGTAGTGGTGATATGAGTATTTACTTTAGGTGGTTTCATGAAGCCATATTATTATTATTATTATTATTATTTGACAGGCAGAGTGGACAGTGAGAGAGAGAGAGAGAGACAGAGAGAAAGGTCTTCCTTTGCCGTTGGTTCACCCTCCAATGGCCGCCGCGGCGCACCGCGCTGATCCGATGGCAGGAGCCAGGTACTTATCCTGGTCTCCCATGGGGTGCAGGGCCCAAGCACTTGGGCCATCCTCCATTGCATTCCCGGGCCATAGCAGAGAGCTGGCCTGGAAGAGGGGCAACTGGGACAGAATCCGGCGCCCCGACCGGGACTAGAACCCGGTGTGCCGGCACCGCAAGGCGGAAGATTAGCCTAGTGAGCCGCGGCGCCGGCCGAAGCCATATTATTTTAATTTTGTGAACTTTCTTTATGTGAGTCAAAATCCACACTAAAATGTTTTTTTTTTAAAGAAGCAAGACAATGAGAGGATTTACAATTGTTTCTAAGATTAAGAAAAGAAAGAAGTAAGGAGAATGAGAGAGAGAGAATGAGAATGAAAAGAAAGGAGATCCTGGGACTTCTTTGCAAGAAGTTCAGAAATGAAGTAGCCTGGAGGCATGGAGGCTGAGAAGGGATTTGGAAAATGCCCCATGAGAAATTCTGTTTGCTGCTAAAGTTTCCCTTCTACGTCTTTCACAAAATCTTTTTGGAAAGTTGACACTGCCTTCTGTTTGAATGGGATATTTCAAATAATAATTCAAAAGTAATAATTATTATAATAATTTCAATAAATAATTTAAAGAAGGCTTGGCATAAAAGAAAAACTGTTATCTTATTGGTGGACCCAGGACTCAGTGGATGAGGGACAGCAGTCATATGAATTAAACTCTCAGTGTGTTTTCTGAATGGTGGACAGTCTCTGGATGAAAGTTTCCTTTCCCTTTTAATTAGAAAGGATATGAATTTTAAAGTCATGTAGACAAATTTCATTTTGTTTCTTAACCTTTGTGAACCTTAGTTTTCTACTGCAAAGAAGATAATAACACTGACCCAACAAGTGACTTAGGAAGCATGTCTAGCACAAAGGTGGTGAGTTAGAGACCTATAGGCCAGAAGTGTGTTTTGCTTGGCTCTACAGAATTTTTTTGACTTTGATTTCACTCTCATAAGCTAAAATCAGTAGTTTCAAATAAAAATCAAAATTTCTCTTTTTTTCTTAGAACACTGGAAACATATGGCCACTTCGGCTTCATTCATGGATGACAAAATTGGCCATGTTAGAGTAGCAAGCACCTTATCACCAAGGGTGTGATTTACACTTAGCGACAGTCCCAGCCCTCTCATTGCCTGATACTTCACCTACCTCTCTCTGACAGGCCTGTTGGACTCCTGGAGTTGGAACCCTGGCCCAGTCCAGAAAATAATAGTTTGGTATTGGCTCACTCTTTCATGATCTCAAATAGTTATTGAATGAATCATTTTACCTCTATTTCTTTCAGAAAAAAAAGTCTGCTTGAAGGCATAATTTTATAGAATGCTTGCGAACATTGTATGTAATTTCTACACACAGTATATTAGCAAACTTCACATTTAATGATTGGGTATCACTGAAAGTAACTGTAGTAATAACATTGCTTACCATGTTAGATATCGCTAAGGAAGCCTGCTGCCAGGTGTCCATTACCAACCTCTCATCTGCCTCAAAGTTTGTCTGCACGTTTTCTAGTGAGTAATCAATCTTGCCTTTCAGTATTGCTTTTAATTTTGGTCTGGGCACGCCTGTTTCTGGAGAAATGGATATTCGAGGAACTAGAGGAATTCTTTGGAAAATAAGCAAACAAAAGAAATACGAAGACTTTATTCAATAGAATTCTATTTTTATACCCATGTCACTTTGTGAATTTTGTTGTCTTTCATCTCAATATTCAAAGTTTTCCTGGAAGAATTCCTTTAATAGGGATAAGCTTATAAAAGACTGTATTCAAACTTTTATGGTCTAGGAAGTTTTGTTAATAAGAGAAAACTCCAACCCTCCTTGCCCCTGCAGAAAAAAAAAAAAAAAAAAAAAAAAAAACAACAACAACAACAACAAAAAAAAACCAAGCAAACAAAAAAGAAACCACAGGACTTCCTTCATGAATTTACTTCTCAGTAATTATTAAGAGGAGGATTTAACAGTGATATTATGAATAAGTGCAATTTTGAAATTTATACAGAACATACACTTCCACTGAGGGGTAAGCCAGTCAAGAAAAAGCAAACCAATTGGAATAGGGCATCCTGAAGTAGATAGTTCAAAAGTAGGATATGACTAAGTGAATCTGAAAGCTGCCATATCATGTGGAGGCAACAAGGTTTTGGTAGTGGGTTGGGTCTACCTCTTGTAGCCCTCCCCTCTCTTGAACCAGAATAGTGAAGATCTCTTGTTAAGGGCTTTGGGAACACAGAATTAAGCTCTCTCTGCCTTCTCTCAACCATATTGCTGTCTGTATGCAGAAATTTTAGATCTGCCCTAGAAATATTCTGATGCGGAAGGACCCCAGAATCTCAAAGGTTAACTAAAGCAGGGAGAAATTCACAAGGTAGAATTTTTACTGTTACTGGACTCTTCCTTTGGTGACAGAATTGCAAAGGGTTTTCAGCTTAGGGAGGGACTGGGGAGGGAGTAACTCCAAGGATGTCATTGGTGAAACCAGAGGAAGAAAGTCAAGCATTTTGATTTGTAGACTCAAGTGGCTGGAGAACAAAGCAGTGATTCAGAAATATGATTGCAAACTTCAATAAACAGGTGTTATTTTGAAGTATCACCTGAAAGGTTTCTTAAATTTGAAACTCGGTCTTACTGTGCTTGAAATTCCACAATGCACTGAGGATTTACTACTCTTCCACGTCTAACTTAAATTACATTTTAATAGGCAAATAAGGCTAAGACACTGCCAGTTCAGTTCAGCTGTGATTCGTGTCCAATAAATTAAGCTAAAGCATGCCTGATCATCTCTGGGCATTTCATACCGTGCAACATGCGTTTCTGAAGCCTTGCTATGCAGGACAGCAGTGGAGGCCTATCTTTTAGAAAAAGAATATGAGTTTAGAATTCATTTACTGGAAAAACTCAGTCTGGATAACTCTGTTGCTATCAGTACATATGAACTTAGGAACGTTACCTGACTTTCTGAGGCTCTGTTCCTCCTAGAATAATATAACAACATTATGATTAATAATATTCATTATCAATTAAGCATTAGTTACTGCTATTAATATGGAAACTACTATGAATCACATCACTTTTATTATAAGTTGTTTGGAGGAATAAAACAGACAAGCTATATGAAAATGTTTAATTTTGTGCTTGTCCTTATATACATTACAAAGAGTGTGGTGAATTGGTTGGTTGGTTGATTGGCTGATAGTTCCAGTGGATAGCCACAGAAGTGATTTGAGGCTGAGATTGGTATAGAGCTGTTTTGCAGAAAATAACTTGCTGTTCTTTGCCAGTTTCACTCTATTAAGGAACATGAATAGCATCTCTATTATGTCTGACTTTCTATTTTGTGCTAAGAACAGAATGCACTGCCACTCTAGGCACTGAAACTTGGCCTCTGTGGTTGGCTCTGATGGTTTATATTGACTTTGGAAATTTTTATTCTTTTAAACTTCAAAGCTCTCCTTCAGTGGCTGGCTGAACATTTCTCTGTTATTTGTATTTAAAGGAGAGAACGCATTTTGGGGCCTGAGGTATCGCATAACCCTGCAGCATTAAGGTCATCTCAAATACTTTTCGAAACGAGAGAGTAAAAGAAACCATGAAAGAATGTGTAAGACTCACAATTCAAATACTGAATAGAAATAATAATATTCAACATTTATTGAGGGCTATTGGGACTAGCTTGCAAGTCTACTGATGCCCAGACATGGTACCAAATGCTTTTAGATTTTATTGTCTGTAATCTTCATAGAAAAACCCTACTTTACACATAAAGAACTGAAACAGAAGAACTGGAGTGACTTGACTTGAAAAATTGTCTTGTTACCTACATTACCTACATATAGTTATTATAAATGCAGACTGACAATTCGAACCGGATCTGCCTGACTTCAAAATAAATTCATTACCCTACACTTAGTTTGTGCAACTCTGGCACCCCCATTGAATGAGCAGGCTTGTAACACAACAAATATAGTACTTTCAATATAAAATACACAAGTCATCTCCTTAGGTATTTAAATTTAACATTCATGTCTATATATTATTTTTAAAATCTAACTTCTTCCTTTCCCCTTCTCTTTATATTTATAGTTTTTGTTTTCTCAAGATCTCATTATTGGTATTGACAAAATAATATTTTAATTCCTCGTTTTAGTTTATTAATTTACTTTTTATTTTTTTTATTTTTTTTATTGACAGGCAGAGTGGACAGTGAGAGAGAGAGAGACAGAGAGAAAGGTCTTCCTTTGCCATTGGTTCACCCTCTAATGGCCGCCGTGGCTGGTGCGCTGCGGCTGGGGCACTGCGCTGATCCGATGGCAGGAGCCAGGTACTTATCCTGGTCTCCCATGGGGTGCAGGGCCCAAGCACTTGGGCCATCCTCAACTGCACTCCCTGGCCACAGGAGAGAGCTGGCGTGGAAGAGGGGCAACTGGGACAGAATTCGGCACCCCGACCGGGACTAGAACCCAGTGTGCTGGCGCCGCAAGGCGGAGGATTAGCCTAGTGAGCCACGGCGACGGCCTTAATTTACTTTTAATCAACTCATTTAATTTTAAGGACTTTAATTCTATTTCTAATCACTTCAATTTATTTTAATTCTTACTTCTAGCTCCTTGATGTTTGCTAGTTGGAATCCACATCACAGGAATTACTATCAATCCCACCCTCATTTATTGAAGAGATTTTTCTTTTAAAAATTTTATTTATTGGAGTTATGGAGAGAAAGGGAGAGATGGATGGTGGTCATAGGGAGGGAGAGAGAGAGAGATATCTTTCATCCATTGGTTCACTCCCCAAATGGGTACAACAGCTGGGGCTGAGCCAGACCAAAATCAGGAGCTTCATCCAGTCTCCCAGCTGGGTGGCAGGGGCACAATCACCTGGGCCATCTTCTACTGCTTTCCCAGACACAACAGGGAGCTAGATTGGAAGTAGAGCAGCCAGGAGTTGAACTGGAACCCATATGGGACTCCTGTCTTGCAGGTGGCAGCTTAACCTTCCATGCCACAATACTGGCTTGAAGACATTTTTCTATGTGTCCATAGTTCTCAGGTCAGGGTTTGGCATCTTGTCCTTTCCCATCCCCCACCCATTATATCTATAGAAACATTCATTTAGAAATTTTCATATTGTGTGGTATTTGTTTAGCTGAAAAGAGAGTTTTTCTCACACCCTAATTTTGAAGAAAATCCCAGAAAACCTACAACTACAAGTTAATTCGGTAGCAGGGATCTGATGTTAGACTAATAATAAAGTTTTTCAGGCTACTGAGTTAATAATCACATATGATTGAGGAGTCACTGGTTCTCAATTTCCTCACCTATAAGACTCATAACCCCTTTCATGGTCTTAACTCTTTCCATTTTCATGTGCTTAGCATCTCTCTCTCTCTCACTCTCGCTCTCGCTCTCTCTCTTGCTCTCGCTCTCGCTCTCTCATACACACACACACACACACACACACACATATGCACCTGCTTGGGTTCTTTCATAAAAATGAATGAGGTTGAGAATCCTCAGAAATTCTAGGGGCTGAAAGTGTGTCAGAATGTTTATGTACCACACACACATTCCCTAAATCCCCAGCAGAATGACACATAATATCTCTGCAGCAAAATGAGTAAAGATTCACTATAAATGGGATATATAATACATACTAGTCTTAAAGCAGTAACACACCAAGGTTAGAAAAAAGATAACATTCAGTTTTTAGAGCTTTTATGAAGTTCAGATTTGCAGACAAAGTATGATTTTTTATTAGTGGTGAACAATTTAAAATCACGAAGCTTTACTTTCAAAACAATTACAGTGTAACATGATAGCCTAGCCTTCCTTACCTAAGCTGGTTTTCTGAAATATCTTTACTATCCAGTCGGATCAACGGGATTCGAGTAAATCTCTTGCTGTCATCTATTGGGATTTTGCGTTCCATTGCCCTATAATAATCTTGCAGGAGTTTCTTTGTATCTTGGAAACGGTTCAGTTCTGCCTATAACAGAAAATGAGAATGTTAATATCCCAGAACGAACAAGATGCTGTGTACATAATTCCCATATAAGAATCTGTGAGTGATATTTTTAAAACATTAAGGTTGAAATTAATTTTCTGGAAATTAAGAAAGCATTGACTGTGAGTGTATATCCAAAGTCTATACTTAGGGAGCCCATTCCACTGAACAAGGTCTTCATATTGTAACAAAAGGTTACGATAGATGGGATGTTTCAAGTAGTGCATATTAGTCATGTCTTTGATAGTCGAGATGCTTCCTGTGTCCTAGATTCAATTAACCAACACGTTGACAAACACCTGAGTGTTGCTTCCAGCACAGGTGACATGTATATTGATTTGGGAGATGCAAGACTATTACACACACAAATAGAAGTTAAAAAACAGTGCTGGGTTCTGATCATCTAGGACAGTTTAAATCAGTTGTGGAAAAATTACTAATGGTACCATAAAGGGATAATAACAGTCCTCTTTCTGCAGTCTCCCTTCTTGTACGGTCAGAAGGTAACTCCTCCATTGCAGACATTCCCTTGAGGGAAATGGAGCAGCACAGAGGGGGTCTATGGTAAGGTTAGTCTCATTTATCCACATGTAGTGACTCCCCATCAGTGTGTGAGATCCTGTGCAGTACACAGTAGCACAGACGCACGCAGTGAGTTTTCCACTCATTCTCTCATTAGAGAGACCATGTGGTCTCTCTTTGCTTCTCTTGGATGTTATAAACCTGACTTCCACACTTTGCTTTAGTTAGTGAGGCTGCTTCAGCCAGCACCCGAGGGCCCACACATTGAAGCTTTTATGCAGATGTATCCCACCATTCTAGTTAATTGCAGAAAAGCATGTTAGGGAAAAAAAACAAAGCAAAACAAGAAAACCCACTGATCTAGTATTCAAAGCCTTTAGCTGAATCTAACCCAAGGTCTTATGGAGAGATTCCTACACTTATTAAGCAAGTCTGTTGCCATTTATTTCATGGCACATTAAGAAAAAGTCTTACAATACTACAGTCATTGTTTGAAACAAATAAATATCTGTGTTTCCATTATGGTCTGCAACAAAAGACAAGGACTTTTTTGGACAAGTTTGTTTTTGACATAAGAAAGGGTAAGAGGAATTGTTCCTGAAAAGATGTTCTCTGCATTATTTAACTTTTTTGTCTAAACGACTGAAACAGGTAGAAATTCATCTGGTTAATTTGAATCTATGTTATAAAATAAAGTTACCACGTACATATTGTTTTAAATTATGGATGATGTTTTAAACAGCTTCCTTGGGTTTTAAGCATAAATATACATTTAAGAAACTCCTCAAACAGCATTTTGAAATGGCCAGGACATTTTTTCTCTTTACTTGCAAAGGATTCAAATTGAATTTTAAATATGTGTAGGCTAAGCTCACAGTTTGACAGCAAGTGTTTGCACAGTCATGCTTGGGTTTGGTAAAAGTACAGAGTAAATGAGCCTTGTAAATTATACTCATGAAAGTTTGCATGCTATCACATTTATAATGAATGGATATAACTAAATTCAATTTGTACAAACTGCATATTGACAAATAACTTTGGAGTATTAAAGAAAAATGTTGAGGGGTTATAAAAATTACCATCAAACCCTAACATTATATTATTTGATAAATAAATGTAGAGATCAGGATAATATTTCCTCTGTCATGCAGAGAGGTAAACTATTTATTTAGTAGAGCCCATTTTATATACTTGATATTCGGGACCATGCTGCTATCTATGTCTTCAGTTTATTTTATTATGATGTTTATCTTATACAAAAAAAAGCTAACTGATTTTAAGGTGCATAATTTGATTCCAGGTCTCCCACTTTTGAATTGCAGGACATGGGACTAATCATTTGCCTGTGTTTACCTCAGTTTTCTCATTTGTGGATTGGGGGCACAGAACAGGGTCATTGTGAAGGTTGAATGTGTTCCACCTGAAAGTTCTTAGAACAGTGCCCGGCATGTACACCATAAGGACTTACTGCAACTTTTTGCTGCTTTTTATCTTCTTTGCTTCTAGTAGTTGTTAGATGACTGTTCAGTTTCTCTGCCTGAGCGCTATAAGTCTGGGCATTGCTGAAATGTATGAGTCATATTGTTTCCAAAAGGCACTGCTCAGACTCAGGAGACAGGCTTACAAACATCCTCTATTCCCTTTGCCTTCATGATTGGACTTCAGCTATTTCTGCCATAAGCTTTCAGCACATCTTTCCCAACAGTCCATCTCTGCTTGTCCAAACTGATGTTCTGGGAATGCTACCCCGGCTGGTTTTGGCTGCTTGGGAGTCTCACTCTAATCCTCCGTACAAGCCATGCCTTGTGGACCTGAATGTCCTCCTGGCTATGACCTGGGTCTGTCCTCAGAGTTAGGTGAACTGTTTCTCATTCCATTTTTTCTTCTCAACCACCTTCTCAACATGGGTCTGTGTTGTTCTGGTACCCTGACTTCTCTAATCCTCCACCTGGATCCCAGAGCTACTGTAGTTTTCCACTTTCCATGGGAATGTGTTCCAAGACCATCAGCGGATGCCTGAAAATGCAGATGGTACCAACCCTATTTGTCCTGTTTTTTTTTTTTTTTATGTATGTATATACACACACACACATGTGTTATTTAACTGTACAAATTTTGTATACCAGACAGTGATTCACATCTTGGGCAGGATGCTACAAGATTTCATCACCATACTCACAACTGTTCATAATTTAAAACTCATAAATTGTTTATTTCTGAAATTTTCCATTTAATGTTTTGAAATCCTGGTTGACCATGGGTAACTGAAACCATATAGAACAAAACTATGAATAAAGGGGGACTACTGAAATAAATGAGGCCACTTCACTTCTGCTTGTCCAGTTTCTTGTATTTTATAGGCCTCCCACTGTCCAGTCTGCCCCTGTACCATGGGTTGTCCCTAATGCTAGTAAAATGGTACCATCTTATCTGTGGCTCCATCTCAGGCTCTGGCCCCTGTTGCCAGCCTGGCTCACTAGATGTCAGGTGACCAAATGGCCCAATTGCAAGTGCCAGCTCCACCCCCACCCTAACGGGATTCACTGCTCCTACTTCCCTACTCCTGCAAGAGTATATCAGGACCTGCTTCCCGCACATGCTCGCTCTCTCTCTCTCTCTCTCTCTCTCTCCCCGCCTCTTTCTTTCTTCTTTGCCCTTTTCCCTCCAGCCTGTCGGGTCTCCCCCATCTGACAATAAACCTCTCCCTTAACTCCAGTGTTTGTTGTGTTTTGTGGTGGCCTTACATTGGTGCCATTTTGATGTTAAAGTCAAAACATAGCTGTCCTTATGGGCATTGTCTACCTCACAGAAAAACCACTATCAGAACATGCCTGGGACTATAGACTTCTAGTCTAGGCCACCAAAGGTTATAGAGATGGGATTGAGTACCCCTTGACTTGCATCCTCTGGTCTGCTTTAACAAAAACCAGGAGGAAGAGAAGCTAGGCCACTGAGGCAATGTAGAGATAGGTGGCAGCCAATTAATGGCTGCTTTACACAGCAATCTGCCATCAAGCAGACTCAACAGGCCAGTTCACTGCATTGGTTTTCGATATGAAAAGCCAGGGCTTCAGCAGAAGTCAGCTTACGAAGAGCCCTGGCAGCTATGGCAGCCGAGAGTTAGGTCACTGGAAACAGAACTTCCCTGGAGTCGAAGGACTTCAGATCAGAGCCTCAGGCCTCGCTGGCCCCAGTGCTACACGGTCCTTTGGGTTTGCTTCTCTTGCAGCCCCTCTCCATGCCACTCTGGCTGGAGGTCTTTGACTCTAATAAATCTTGCTTTTCAACCTTTAAATCTCACTTTTATCTTTGCCTTGTCCACTTGGAAATTCTTTCGTGTGAGACAAACAACTAAGGTAATCATAATTTCTCTGCAGCTATTTTCCTGTAACACCTTTTAAAAGTTGGAAGTACTAAGATTCATTGGTCACTTGTTGAAGAAGCATTTATTATTGAACACCTACTATGTATTAGCTCTAGGGGTTGCCAGATCAATACTCTCATTTCCTGCACTATCTCCCAAGGTTTGTTAATCAACTGAAGACTAGAAAGGCATTTTTTTCCATTCTGTCTTTAATGCTATTTTCTTAGGGAAAATACATAGCCCCAGCTTTACCAAGGCAGCCTTAATATTCTCCAAAGCTTGAGTAAGTTTTAATTTTTTTCAACTTAATATTTTTTGAGATAACATTTTTTATTTTTATTTTTTTAAAGGTTTTACTTTTTCATTTGAGAGGCAGAGTTACAGACAGATAGAGGGAGAGACAGAGAGAAAGATCCTCCATCCACTGGTTCACTCCCCAAATGGTCACAACAGCTAAGTTAGAGCTGAAGCCAGGAGCCAAGAGCTTCTTCCGGGTATCTCATGCAGGTTCAGGGGCTCAAGGACCTGGGGTATCTTCCACTGTTCTCCTAGGCCATAGGCTGAGAGCTGGATGGGAAGAGGAGCAGCTGGGACAGGAACCAGTGCCCTTATGGGATGCCAGTGCCACAGGTAGAGGTTTAGCCTACTTAGCACAACACTTACATTATAATCAAAGGCTTGATGGCTAGTCCCTCACTTCTCTTTTCTTAGAGCATTTACTTCCTTTCTCTTTCTTTTAAGATGCAAATCTTAAAGGCCTTGGGCCAGTTTTAAAACCCAGGAATTTTCTTAAGGACCTGAGAACCATGTCTTTGAAATGTACTGAGAAACTGGGCAGGGCAGTGCCTGCATTTCCCAGCTCCTGTGTGAAGGTAGGCACCTAACTTCAGTGAGTGCCTTGCTCCAAGTTGTAAAACTCTCTACTGGAATGAAGATAGTAGAAAGTTTACTTTTCCTTTGGAGAAGGCCAAGTAGCAAACATAGATGAGCTTTGACCCTACCTCCTCCACTCAGCCCAGTTCCAGCTCTTCGTTTGGGCAGGGCTAGGTATGCAAGACCTGGCCCGTGCTCTTTCCTTGTGTTAGTATAGACATCTGCCTTATCTTGTCCTGTGTGAATTTCTGGTTTAATAGACCACAAATATAAGTTAATTATTGTCCTGTGAATGGTCTGGTTTTCCACCCAATATCGAAAAATGTTTGATTTTCAGGAGTCAAATGCCTGCAGGGCCAGGCCTGATCTAATGCCCGTGCTTTGTGGCAGGGCTGCTTTTCTGGTGGTGGGCCACTTCGGGAGTCGGCTCAGAAAGGCTGAGCAGACAGGATGACTCAGATGTGCACACTGTCTCTGCTGCCTACCTCCACTAGCAGAGCTGGTGAACAGCTGCTTGGGGCGCTCCCTGGGTGTGAGACGGGCCTGGACTAGAATCATTTATTTTAAGCTAATTTTCTTGGCTGGTTGGAGCTCATACCAGCCAGAGTGCTATGAGCCAATGATCTCTAACATTCCCAGAAGAGCGTGTTGCGTGAGGGATGCTGGTGTGGCATCGCGACTGGCTGCTCTCACCTGCATCAGTGAGAAGAAGTGGTTCATCGTGATTCCAAGGGAGTCCTGCAGCCAGCTTTCGTTAATGATATCCAGCCGTTCCTGCTCAGCCTCTTCCTTCCTGGCATCACAAATGTCCCACAGGCGGTCTCGTAAATCCTGAACAGAAGTGGAACCCACACGGTCATGCTTCAGAGTCACGGCTAGAATTACCTGCACACAATAAAACTCAAACCTAGTGCCTCTCTCAGAAATGTCCCTAAAGAAAATTTAGACCCACTGTACTCATATGTTATATTTGTTCATTTGGCCAGTATTTAGTTTGCTTGCACTCTGTCAGGCTCTTGCTTTAGTAAGACTCATACACTAGACCAAATGTCCTTGTCTGGCTCAAATCCCTTTCATTCACTTCATCCATGCAGACCTATGACCTATGTATTTTATGTTTTCCTAGAAAAAATTGGTTGAGAAAGTCCTTTCAAGGGATTTTTTTGGAAATGAGTATTGTTTGTAGAAAAAATACACAGCTATAAATAAACCAAGGGTGGGCATAGCCTTGCTAATTAATATCACAGCTGGAACATATCTTCACAAAATGTCTGAATTTAATGGAGTGGTCTAAAAATGATCTTTGTATTAAATAGCTAACAGTAAAGAAGTCTTTTAGGGACCCCAGCCCTGTCACTTGCCAGATCCTAAGCAGTAAGATGATAAGCATAAATATAACAATGTATAACCCGATATTTATGTACATTTGTAATAGTTTAAAAATAAAAGAAATTATATTTGTGCAATTTACATGTAAATATAATGATGAGGCTGGCGCTGTGGTGCAGCGGGTTAACGCCCTGGCCTGAAGCGCTGGCATCCCATATGAACGCCAGTTCAAGACCCGGCTGCTCCACTTCCAGTCCAGCTCTCTGCTGTGGCCTGAAAAAAGCAGTAGAAGATGGCCCAAGTCCTTGGGCCCTTGCACCCACGTGGAGACCCAGAAGAAGCTCCTGTCTCCTGGCTTTGGATCCGCACAGCTCCGGCCATTGTGGCCAACTGGGGAGTGAACCAGCAGATGGAAGACTTCTCTCTCTCTTTCTGCCTCTCCTCTCTCGTGTAACTCTAACTTTCAAATAAAAAAAATAAATCTTTAAAAAAATATAATGACAGTAGTTACCATGTACTAAGCCCCCCCCCTCCTTTAAGGTTTATTTATATTTGAAAGGCAGAGTTACAGAAAGAGAACAGAGGGAGAGATAGGGAGATAGAGATGGAGAGAGAGGGAGAGAGAGGGAGAGGGAGGGAGAGAGAGGGAGAGAGAGAGAGAGAGAGAGAGAGAGAGAGAGACCTTCCATTAGCTGATTCACTTCCCAAAAGGTAACAATGATGGGGGGCTGGGCCAAGCTGAACCCAGGAGCCTGGAACTCCATCCTGGGGTTCCTGGGACGTGGGTGACAGGGGTCCATGTACTTGGGCCATCTTCCACTGCTTTTCCATGTGTATTAGAAGGGAGCTGGATCAGAGTTGGAATAACCAAGACTCCAGTTGGTGCCCATATGGGATGCTGACATTGCAAGTAGAGGCTTAACCCAGTATGCAACAATGCACATACTTATTGCCATTCTTATGTGTGCAGGTGAGTTATAAGTCACTATACTTATATCGACTCAGTTAATGCTTCACAACAACATTGAGTAGGTACTATTATCTTCATCTTGCAAATGGGGAAACTGAGTCATGGAGAAGTTATTTTCCTTAAGTTTCACAGTGAGTAAGTGATAGAACTGGGGTATGAACTTTTGATCTTGAGTAACATGTGCCATTCACTATATAATGTCTCAGTTACTTTGTAGGGATCATGCTACTTATGTTTTGAATATGTTATACAGAATAAATTAGCTTGTATATATAAAGTACTTTGCACAACATTTTTTCAATGAACATAAACTATCATCTTATTTATAGCAATGGAATGTTTAGTAAAAATATGCCATTAATGATTTATATTTGAGTACAGTCCAATAAGATTTGACAGTGTTCAAAACAATAATTCATTGAACATTTATGATGTGTTGGACATTATGTTAAGTGCTTTACTCTCAACACATCCTAATTCCCACAATAGGTTGGTTTCTAATGAGACAACTGGGGCACAGAGAGAAAATAACTTGTCTATGGTTTCAATCAGGTGGACCCAGGAAATTATACTCAGGCAGTTTAATTCCAGTTACTACAGTGAGTTTTATTTCTGTTACCCTGTTCTTGGAACATGTAGTGTTTGAATTCTCATATTAACATTTTGTTTTGTTACCATGTAGAGGCTGCACATAAAATAGAATATCACAAGTCATTTATATAGCCATATACTAAGTTTTAGAACAAAACACCATTATTTGACATCTGATCTTGATAATTTCATGGTGTTTAGACAAATAGTCTGTTGAGCATCCAATATGCACTGGTTTGTGATTATCAAATATTTATATTATTTTTAAAAGATTTATTAATTTTATAGGCAGAGTAAACAGAAACAGATCTTCCATCCTCTGGTTCACTCTCCAAATAACTGCAATGATCAGGGCTGGCCCTGGCATAAAACAAGAGCCAGAAATCCCTCTGGGTCTCCTGCCTGGGTGGCAAGGCCCAAGCACTTGGGCCATCTTCTGCTGCCTTCCCAGACACATTAACAGGGAGCTGATTAGAAGCAGAGCAGATGGGGCTCTATCCAGTACTTCAGTATGGGATGCCAACATTGCAACTGGCCTCTTTATATATTTTAAAATAACAGGACAGGACACAGCAGAGGAAAAAAGGTAAAAGCAGGTGTCTGGATTTCTTGCTTCTGGTTCTTTTTCTGTTACTGACTCACTGTGAAGCCTTTGCAAGGACCATCATCTTTGTTGCTCAGTTTTCTAATGGGCAAAATGAGGACAATGCACAAATGATCTCCTTTATTAACTTCATGGGATTGGGATGAAAGACTCTAAGAACAAAGAATATTATTTGGGATTTTAAAAGATGAAAACTGTAAGGGTTTATTAAGGCCTTACCCAGGGGCATGGCTAGTTTTCACACCCTGGCAAGAATTAGATGATTATTAAATACTTCTGAATAATCAGAGGTGGATCGTATTTAAGAAAAATTCATGACTATTAATTAAGGTTGGCCGGCGCCGCGGCTCACTAGGCTAATCCTCCGCCTAGCGGCGCCGGCACACCGGGTTCTAGTCCCGGTCGGGGCGCCAGATTCTGTCCCGGTTGCCCCTCTTCCAGTCCAGCCCTCTGCTGTGGCCAGGGAGTGCAGTGGAGGATGGCCCAGGTGCTTGGGCCCTGCACCCCATGGGAGACCAGGAAAAGCACCTGGCTCCTGGCTCCTGACATCGGATCAGCGCGGTGCGCTGGCCGCAGCGCGCCGGCCGCGGCGGCCATTGAAGGGTGAACCAACGGCAAAGGAAGACCTTTCTCTCTGTCTCTCTCTCTCACTGTCCACTCTGCCTGTCAAAAAAAAAAAAAAAAAAAAAAAAGGAAAAAAAAATTAAGGTTGTACAATAAAGTCAAGAAAAATGTGCATTTTTACAAAGGTAAAGTAGGATCAAAAACTTGAATTTAGCTTGTATGGTGCTTACAAGGGGCTCAAATAAAATGAAATGACACAAACAGGTCAAATATAAAAACTTACACGAAGTGCTGCAAAGAAAAAAATAAAGCAATGTTCACAATACTGCCATTAGGTAAGAGTTGAATTTAAAACAAAATTTACAAGAGCATCCCAACTGGTTTCCTAACTGCTCTTTCTGATGGTCTCCCTGCTATTTTTTTTTTTTAAGGCAGAGTGGACAGTGAGAGAGAGAGAGAGAGAGAGAGAGAGAGAGAAAGGTCTTCCTTTGCTGTTGGTTTACCCTCCAATAGCCGCGGCGGCTGGCGCACTGCACTGATCCAATGGCAGGAGCCAGGTACTTCTCCTGGTCTCCCATGGGGTGCAGGGCCCAAGCACTTGGGCCATCCTCCACTGCACTTCCTGGCCACAGGCAGAGAGCTGGCCTGGAAGAGGGGCAACCGGGACAGAATCTGGCGCCCCGACCGGGACTAGAACCTGGTGTGCCGGCGCCGCAAGGTGGAGGATTAGCCTATTGAGCCGCGGCGCCGGCCGGTCCCTGCTATTTTTAAAACACTATAATTTTTTTTTTCGAAATCAGAAGCCAACACAGCCCATTCTACTCAGATAAACATCAAATTGTAATAATGACCTCCAAATAAAAAGTGCTTTGGGGGCACACATGTTTATTTTATACTATAAACAGGTATAAGAAACAAAAAATACAACTTATTCTACTTTGGGCGTCAAATAATGCTGCACTGAAGAAGCACTTTATTGGTGTCAGGCCACTTGGGCACAGATCTCAATGCTGACACTTACTATACTGACTTCTTCATCCATAAAAACTGGAACATCACTAGCTCCTACCTCAGAGGGTTGTTGTTGGAATGGAGGTAGACAGCACTCGCATCTAGTACATGCTCAGTGCTGACAATACAGTTATAGTGTATGATCAACAGAGGGCTTCAAATGCTAAATATGTAAAGAGATCTCAGAAGTAAATAAGAAAAGAGCACACTGCAACAGAAAAATGGGAAGAAATAATGAAGAAGTTTCAGGAAGAAGGAAATAGATGATCATTAAAATTAAGAAAATCAGAAATGCAAATGATAAGAAAATATTCATTTTCACCCTCTACATAGGCAAAGATTAACAAAGAAGATAGAATCCAATATGTGAGGGGTTGGCGCTCTGGCACAGTGGGCTAACATTCTGGCCTGAAGCGCCGGCATCCCATATGGGCGCCGGTTCGAGACCCAGCTGCTCCACTTCTGATCCAGCTCTCTGTTATGGCTTGGGAAAGCAGTAGAAGATATCCCAAGTCCTTGGGCCCCTGCACCCATGTGGGAGACCAGGAAGAAGCTCCTGGCTCCTGGCTTCGGATTGGTGCAGCTCCAGCCATTGCAGCCATCTAGGGAGTGAACCAGCAGATGGAAGACCTCTTTCTCTTTCTCTCTCTCTCTCCTTCTCTCTCTCTCTATCACTCTGCCTCTCCTCTCTCTGTGTAACTCTCTCAAATAAATAAATAAATAAATCTTTTAAAAAAAGAATCCAATATGTAATGCACTCATATGATGTTACTGAGAGTGACACAAGTTTAATGTGCAGATTTTTTTTTTTTTTTTTTTTTAAAAAAAAACAAAAAAAAAACATGGGATTAACTTTTGCCCAGGTAAGCAAAACACAGCAAGAGACTCAAGTTATGTTATTTTCCATTTCTTCTGGGTTTGTTAGCATGTGTTATAACCATTACAGGTATTTATTTTTATAAAAAACTTTTAATTTTTGATTAATTTTTAACAGATTCAATGTGGTTTGTAGGTATAATTCTTTTTTTTTTTTTTTAACTTTTATTTAATGCATATAAATTTCCAAAGCACGACTTATGGATTACAATGGTTTTCCCCCCATACCGTCCCTCCCACCCACAACCCTCCCCTTTCCCACTCCCTCTCCCCTTCCATTCACATCAAGATTCATTTTCGATTATCTTAATATACAGAAGATCAGCTTAGTATACATTAAGTATGGATTTCAACAGTTTGCTCCCACACAGAAACATAAAGTGAAAAATAATAGATGATTTTTTTAAATGATGATGAAATCAGAGCAGACCTATTGTCATGTTTAATCCCAGTGAGAGTCAAGTTGGGAATTGATAATTTCTTTTTCTTTTCTTTTTTTTTTTTACAGAGGATCAGTTTAGTATGCATTAAGTAAGGATTTCAACAGTTTGCACCCCCATAGAAACACAAAGTGAAATATATTGTTTGAGTACTCGTTATAGCATTAAATCTCAATGTACAGCACATTAAGGATAGAGATCCTACATGAGGAGTAAGTGCACAGTGACTCCTGTTGTTGACTTTACCAATTGACACTCCTGTCTATGGCATCAGTAATCTCCCTATGCTCCAGTCATGAGTTTCCAAGGCTATGGAAGCCCTCTGAGTTCTCCAATTCTTATCTTGTTTAGACAAGGTCATAGTCAAAGTGGAGGTTCTCTCCTCCCTTCAGAGAAAGGTACCTCCTTCTTTGATGGCCTGTTGTTTCCACTGGGATCTCACTCGCAGAGATCTTTTGCCAGAGTGTCTTGGCTTTCCATGCCTGAAATACTCTCATGAGCTTTTCAGCCAGCTCCGAATGCCTTTAGGGCTGATTCTGAGGCCAGAGTGCTATTTAGGACATCTGCCATTCTATGAGTCTGCTGAGATTCTCACTTCCCATGTTGGATCACTCTCCCCTTTATTTACTCCATCAGTTAGCGTTAGCAGGTACTAGACTTGTTTATGTGCTCCCTTTGACTCCCAGTCCCTTCACCATGACCAACTGTGAACTGAAACTGATCACCTGGAACAGTGAGATGGCATTGGTACATGCCACCTCGATGGGATTGAATTGGAATCCCCTGGTATGCTTCCAACTCCACCACTTGGGGCAAGTCAGCCTGAGCATGTCCCAAATTATACATCTTTTCCCTCTCCCATTCCCACCACCATGTTCCACAGGGATTGGTGCACAGTTATTCTTAAGTGTTGAAAAATTAACTGAAATGTGATCCCTGTGGAATGTGCAGATTTTTAAAGTTTCAAATTTATGCTTGTTTTCAAAAACATTAAAAATAACATTGTTTTAGATTAAACAATTTCTATTTTTAAAAGAAGTCAGTTCAAAGGATAAGTAAAGACATGGTCAATAATTAGCTAACTGAAATTCTACTCTCTAATTTTCTTCAGTATCAGGATGGTACTCAACAAAATTCATTAACAGAAAATCTGTTAAATAAATTATGATATAGCCCATTAGTAATTCCTTTAGTCATAAAAATATTATAGATGAATCTTCATTGGGAAAGAAAATATGTTTCATTGGTAAAAAATGCTAAAAATAATATTCATACTGACGCCACATTTTTATAAAAATACTGTGGAAATATATGCAGATACGCACCAATGTAGTGATAAAAGTTAACTACTGGCAGTGGGATTATGAATTTATCATTTTAAATTTTGTCTCCTTTGATTATCTAATTTATCTACAACAAACAGAGGGTGCTTTTGGATTTAGAAAAAATCACAAATAAGGCATTTCAAATGTCAGAATCTTCTCATCATGTCTTTATTACCTGAGTAACAAGTAGGAGAAAGAACTATACAGGAAGGTGGCTCAGGTCAGCTTATGGATGAGTAGAAAAGAGAAAGAAAAGACAGAAAAACTAGTTTTAGAATTTACTCAGTTATAATTATTGGTAGAGGAAGGTCCAAGAACAGGTAATACAATTAGTTTTACCAGGACATTTGAATACCTCTTGAGTTAAACACTTCAGCACCTGCCTCCATCACTCAAATCAGAATGATACTTTATCTATTACAAGAGCATCCCAACTGGTTTCCTAACTGCTCTTCCTGATGGTCTCCCTGCTATTTTTAAAACACTATAATTTTTTTTTTCGAAATCAGAGGCCAACACAGCCCATACTACTCAGATAAATATCAAATTGTAATAGTGACCTCCAAGTTTTAAAGTAACCCGATTTCCAAGATCTCTCTCATCTTATCACCAGCCCTTCTGCCCGTCCACACTCCACTGCAGCCACATTACGTTTTTCCCCCTACCAAGCAGCCTCCCCCTCCGGTGCCTTTGCCTGAGCTTCCCCTAGGCTTGCTACATCCTTTCTCCACATATCTCCATGGCTTACTCCATCACTTGTGAGCTGTCTGTTCAATATCACTATCTCAGTAGGTCTTTCTACACGCACCATTAAATGCTACATTAAATGTTTCTTTTCTTCTCTCATTGCTTTTTTGCTCACCACCCAACTCTTCTTGCAAATGACATATTCATTAAATGTTTACTTGTTTGCTATTTACTGTCTCTTGGCCATCAACATGCAAACATTATGCAGTCATAGACTATTTTGCTCAATGGTGAACACCCAGCCCTTTGGATGATGGCAGGGCCATGACAGATACTCAAGAAATAATTACCGGATATATAAATAAGCTATGGAGTAGAGTTTGACAATGTTTTCATTGCACAAATACATCCTGGGATAAAATCAGATTTGACTGTAGCCTAATGAAGGTAATGGCAGGGGACTTCTCTGATGGAATGGGGGGGGTGTCTGTCAATTTACACAGGGAAGGAAAAAGGTAAGAGACAGCACAGCCCCTTTCTAAAGCATCAAGTTAATATAATTCACTCATGAATTTCTGAAAATCTTTCTGTCTACTAACTGCCAGACATTGTGCTTACTGGAGATAAAAGGGTGTGTAAAGTGGGACCGGCACTGTGGCATAGTGGGTCAAGCTGCCACCTGCCGTGCTGACATCCCATATGGGTGCCAGTTCAAGACCTGGCTGCTCCACTTGTGATCCAGCTCTCTGCTATGGCCTGTGAAAGCAGCAGAAGATGGTCCAAGTGCTTGGGCCATTGCACCCACGTGGGAGACCCAGAAGAATCTCCTGGGTCCTGGTTTCAGATTAGCCCAACTCCGGCATTTGAAGCTATTTGGGGAGTGAGCCAGTGGATGGAAGATCTCTCTCTCTCTCTCTGCCTATGCCTTTCTGTAATTCTGTCTTTAAAATAAAATAAAATAAGATAAAATAAAATAATAAAATAAAACAAAATTTAAATGGTGTGTAAAATTTTGTGCCTGTCCTGTTAGTTTGCCATGAAGTTCCCTCATTTTCCTCCTCCTTGAAATCAACAAGTTGTACAACTGCATTCAGACAGGCATGCGCTCAATACTATACATGGGCAATATTACATGTGTAAATAAAGGGATTGGCATCAAAAATCAGTTAACAAGAATGCCCTTGCACTTCTAACCTTAGCTCCTCTTTCCAGAAGTCTTGCTCTAGTATTCTCATTCTTTTTTTCATATGTAACACTTCATTTCAGAATAGTTTTAAATTATAAAAAAAGTCAGTAATAATACAGAGTTCTGATATACCTTGCAACTAATTTTCCCTATTAACATCTCATATTAGAATATTTATCACAATAAATGAACTGCACCTAGCTTCCTCTATTTTTTTTTTTTTGACAGGCAGAGTGGACAGTGAGAGAGAGAGACAGAGAGAAAGGTCTTCCTTTTGCCGTTGGTTCACCCTCCAATTTCTCCCAGCCTCTAGTAATCAATATTCTGTGTTCAGACTGATTTTTTTTTTTAAATTTTAGCTCTCACATATAAGGGAGAACATACAGTATTTGTCCTCTGTGTCTGGCTTATTTCACTCAATATCATGTCCTTCAGTTCATACGATCCAGCAATCCTACCATTGGGTATATGTCCAAAAGACATGAATTCATTGCATTGAGGTACCTGCTCCACCATTATAGCAGCACTGCTCACAGTAGCCAGAACAAACAAACAAACAAACAAACAAGCAAAAAACCCCAAAACAACAAACAGAAAGCCATGGAAACAACCAAGGTGTCTATCACCAGATGAATGGATAAAGGAAATGGGGTATAAATCCATATATATATATATATATATATATGTATATATTCACACAATGGGATATTTTTCAGCTATAAGAAAGAATGAAATCCTGTCATTTGAAACACAAACTATGGACTTGGAGTGTTCTCATTCTGGACTCAAAGTTCAGAAAAGCCACTGCTCTTGAAAGTTAGCTGGTGAAAAGTTAAAACCATTTCCTTTCTCATCCTTATATCTCATGAAGGTAAGATAGGAATGCATTGGGATTTTGCAGCTTAAGATATAAAAGTGTGGAGACATCAGCCTAACAGCTCACAGATTCCCTTACGTTCACTCTTTGGTGTAGTTCAGCCTTGGTTTCCTCATCTTCCCACAAGTCATCAGGAAAAGAGTTGAAATCAGCCTGCCATTGAGCTACAAAATCTTGCTTGTGATCTGGACGCCTTAGAAACTCCTGGAAACTTGTTCTGTAAGATATTAACCAGATGAAATGGATCTTACACATTATTCTCTTAATTGTGACATTCTGACTTTGGGAATTTTACTTACGTAATTTCATATAAGTATTTAAGTACTTCATGCTGGTCTTCTCTCAGATGCCTGAGGATGGTTTTGATAGTGTTTATGTAAGAATTTTCTATTAGTTCCCAGTAAGGTACTAAAAATGAAGGTATTTCCTGTTAAACGATAAAGCACAGTAATCATTATTTCAAAATGAAAATTCTTCTGATGAATTAAGTCAAAATGAGCACTACTGAGGGAGATCAGGATGCAACTGCAACTACTTGAAGCATTTCCTGTGAAATTTCCCCCTCCCCTAGCCAATTCCTATTCCAAATAATTCTTCATGTGTCAGCTCAGATGTCATTTCTTGCAGAAATCCCACCCTTATCCAACAAGTTTACAAAGTCACCTTTGAATGCTCTGAGGTTCTCCCTTCACACTCTGCATCTCCTCTCATAATACTGATGCTATTAGTTGTAGCTGCTTATTTATTAATTTGTATTCACCTCTAGAATATAAAGCCCATGGAGTCAGGAGTTATGGTTGTCTCATTCAATACTAAATAGTCTCCCAGTAATTAAGACAGTTTTTGGACATAAGAGGCTGCAAGACATATTGACTGAGTCATGAGTTGAACCATCACATTTTTGCCACAGCTGCAAAGTGTCCTAGGATGGAGAATACCTAGAGTTTATGTCAGGGTGGCAATGAACTATTTCTCTCATTTGACCTAGGAGGCTCTATTATTGCTGAGTGGAGTATGAAAACCAGAGAGTTTCTTTTGTGTTATCCCTAATAAAGCAAATAAACAATAACACCAAGAAATAGTCACAATAAAACAAAATAGATGATATACATTCTATTCAATATAAACTTGCTGTATACTTATTAACCTTACTGACTGCGCATCATGTAATCGGAGCTCACATGCCTGGAGACCTTAGAGATCATCTGGGCTAATTTCCTCTCCAATCAGGAAATACCAAATATAAAAGATAAATTTTGCAACCTCTCTGCAGACCTTGCAGATGCACTGAGCATGGCATTTCAAGGCAGCTCCTTCCAGTGTTGCCCAAACCATCTTACTGGGGAAGTTTTCCTCATGTTGAACAGAAACTTGCCTTCCTATAATTTCCACGTATCAGCCCTAATTATGTTCACTGGAGAAGACCCAGCTACAGTTATACTGTCTTACTTACGGCAACCCGTCAAACATTAGAAGTCAAGTATCATTAGTGAGGAGGGAGACAGATTGACATTCAGGGTGCAAGAGATCCAGCCCACGCCATTCTGTCACTACTTAAGTGTCTTACTTTGTCTAAGCCAAAAGCAAACAACCAAGAATTATTTATTGAATGGCAATTCTACATAGGCATTGTTGTAAGGGACAGGAATTTTGTGGAAAATATCCCTGCTTTGGGAGCATATAGTCTGGTGGGGGAGGGGAAAACAGTGAAGAAGTACAAGTAGTTATATCTAAGTAATTATGTAAGCAACTTAATAGCCAAAAAAACAGCAATTCAGGTTGTAAGTGCTATGGAATGACAGGTGTAGCTTTATCTTGTGTTGTTGGGGAAAGTCTCTTTGTCCAGGTGGAACTGAGGTTAGCACTTAAAAGGAGGAAGAGTTGCGGTAAGAGCACGCTAAGCAGAATAACAGCAGATACAAAGCACTGTGGTGGAAGTGATCTTGCACATGAATAGATGCTGATGTCTGAGAGGTGGGTGAGGACCCAGTTCCTGAATTTCTTCCAGATTCTGTCTCTTTTTTTCCCTATTCCTTCCTTCCCCAGTGTTGCTGTCATCATTCACTCTGGTCATCTCTGGCCTAGGCTAGTATAGGGGCTTCCTTGCATTTCTGTGATTCTTTTTAATATTCTCAAATAATCTTGTATTCCAAAAAACAGGTAATACTTATTGAGGACTTCCTTTCTGCCAGATCCTGTTCAAAGAGTTTTACGTTTATCCAATCACTAAATACTTAGGAGACAGGTTTCTATTCCTCCTTTCATTTAAAGATGGGGCATTTGTGGTGACAGGTGTCATATAGCTTGAACAAGGTCACATATTTGATTGACAGAGCTGGGTTTTGAACATAGACAAGTTATAACCCATGCTTTTAAATAAGTCACTCTATTGTCTCTAAGTTACTGTTTTGAAAATGGATCCACACTTGTTACCTCTTTGCCAAAAAGCACTCCATTGCTTCCTCTACCTAGGAAATAAAGTCCAAATACTTCAGCATTGCTTTTAAGGCCTTTGTAAAACTGGCAATTGCCTTGCTGTCAGATTTTCCTCCTGAAGTTGTGTTGTGTGTTCAAGGCTTTTGCTATCAAATTTATTGAGCAATTCTCACCCTGGGATTCTTCCTTCTCTATTCCTACCCAAACAATGAACACTTTAAAATGTACCCTGATTTGGGGGGAGGGGTCTTTAAAAAAAAACACATTCTCAACAAAATGTATTATTTTTCCCTCTGTGTTATTCAGTTTATACTCTTGTTATAACTGCAATTACACTGTTATAACTTGTTGTTTAAATGCCTCAGTCCCGAAGTAGATTGTGTTATAAGACATAGAAAGAGCAATTTGTTTATTTTTCTAGCATTTGCATAGAATAGATGCCAAATAAATGTTAATATGGATGTTGAAAATTTTCATCATTACCTTTTTTTTGGAGACTAGATGGTTTCATTTTGTTCTAAAAACCTAAGATTCTAAGTCCAACCATATTTGAGGTATGCATTTATCTAAGTTACACATTAATAAAAAGTTCCTTTAATGCTCCTCTCATGTTGTTTCAACACCCTTTCCTGACATTCTGCCCCTCTCTGGTTTCTAGACTGTTATCATAATTGCATGTGAAATACTTTCAACAGTGCTGTAGAGTAATTTTTTCTGTAAATTGTTAAAAAAAAAGCGAGAGAGGGAGAGAGAGAGAGAGAGAGAGGGAGGGAGGGAGGGGGGAGGAGGAGGTGGAGGTGGAGGGGAGGAGGAGCGGGGAGGGAGCACTCCCATCCACTTGTTCACTCCCCCAAATGCCTACAACAGCTAGCGCCAGGCTGGGCCGGGAGCTGGGAAAATCAGTCCAGGTCTTCCTCATGGGTGGCAGGGACCCAACTACTGGAGCCATGGCCGTGGCCTCACTGGGTGCATGTACATGAGCAGGAAGGCAGAGTCAGCAGTGGAGCCAGGACTGTAATCCAGGCATTGCAATATGGGGTGTGGGTATCCCAACTATCAGCTTAACTGCTAGGCCAAACACTTGCCCCATAGAGATGACTTTTAAAGAAACACACTAATAAACCTGCCTCTTACCAGACTTCAATCCATTAGGCAACACTGCATGCATAATGAAGTGCCACTTAAGAATGGGCCTGATTGATGAACATTCTGCTCTCAACTCCCATTTTTCCGCAATCACTCCATGAGGAAACTTCAAAAAGTTGTTTGAACTCAGAAGATATTATGTCTATAGTACTCCCTGATCCACCCGCCCAATCTTGTCAAGGAACAAGGAATGGGTCAATTCAACAAGATTTATTCTTCCTGTGCAGTTTTTATATTTTATAAGGATTCTGAAATCATGTTTAATGATTTTCTCTCACATTTTGTCAGGGATTAACACATAAATTATTGGTACCTATGTAAACAAGCCTCATCCAACTTTTCTTAAATATTTAGGCATTTGCATAACCCTAGTGCTCTGGTGTCTCCTGTGTTCTCTATGGTTTCTGTGAGTTATTAATTAAGCTGTTTCTATAGATTCTTCCAGCTCCTGGGATATGATTTCCCTGGATCTGTATTGAACAATGTGATGTGACTAACTATTCAGACACATGCCTTTCAATTAAATTTTTTTTGTTGTTGTTATCTGAAGACTAACATAATTGGAATTCAGTAGCCAAGGCAGTATTTTCCAAGATAAGAGACCCTCACTTTACACAGTTTATTGTCCGAGGTCCTGAGAGGGGCCTACCACTTTGTTCACATGGCCATGTTGTTTATTAATTTTTAAGTGACACTGGTCAAATCTTCAGTCTCTTTCCAATTTAACTTCCTCTTTGTCACATTTCCATTCATGAGTTATGAAGCTAAAAGAAAATGTTCTGAACTAACATAATAAACAAAATTCTGATCACCCTCACAGAGGAAGTCTGGATTATCTTCCTATTCTCAGAATAAAAAAGTGATTTTACATAATTATTGTCACTTGTAAAAATAAGCAAAGAACACATATCCAAAGATGTAGGGGATAAAGAACACTAGATATATAAGGTATATAAGGCATCTATAAAACAGGTCTGTTATTTATTTATCTGTCTTATGTTTGTAGTATTTGTTAGTTTTTTCAAATTACAAAAATATTTTTTAACAAAATACATTTTTATTCTAAGTAATACCTTTCATGCCTGATTTTCTAAATGAAATTTTGTGTTCTTTTTTTCTTAAAGAGAGTCCACAAAACTTTCAGGTCCACACAACCTGGATGCTATCCTTGATTAATTCCACTTTATTCCTTTATTCACTTTAAATTATTTCAAATTACTCAAACTGGTTTCTATTTTAGATAATACAGAAAAAAATATGTTCGCTCTCAGCATTTTGGCAGATTTCTGCAAATGTCCTTGATTGTATTCTTTCAAAATTTGAGTACCTATGATGGGCTAGCGCTAGACACTCATTCAATTTATGTTTCTATAATCCCCCCCCAATTATTTGAGACCTCAGTTCCCCACAAACACCTTCTGGGGTCACATTAGTTTCTCTGGCTCTCAACTGGGATTATGAAGTCAGATTGTTTTACTCTAGAGTCATATTCTTTAGAGTCCAGATTATGCCTTAACTACACTTTTGAAATGTGCTTTCCTGACTACTGGGGTACATATCTGCTTATGATCTACCAAGTTCTTTTACTATTAAACCTGTTCTATTGCATTTATCCAACTGCTCATATGTATTGGTCAGTACTCCAAATACCTCAGACACTCCTCATAGCTTCCTGTGTACATCAATCTTCCCCTGACCTATGGTGCATACCCTCCAAAACCCTCGATTGATGCCTGAAACCATGGATAGTACTGAACCCTATATATACTATGATTTTACTATACATGCAGACCTATAATGTCTAATTTACAAATTAGGCATAATATAGGATTGACAATAATTGCTAATAAAATAGAACAATTCCAACAGTATGCTATAATACAGGTTATGTCAGTGTGGCCTCTCTGCTCAAAGAGTAAAAGGAAATAGTAATTTCAGATCACACTTTTCCCAGGTAACTGAAACCATGGAAAGTGAAGGGGAACTACTGTAGTTTAAGTATTGAAATCATTGGGCCCTTAGTAAGGCCAGTACGGAACACATCAGAAGCTTGCTTTAAGACAAGTTGTACTTTTGGCACAAGAGTCTTGTGTCTGTCAACCTCTTAAGGAGAGATTCAGTATATATTCAGTCCTTGGCCCTGTGCCCCCTGGGCCCAGCTTCTTCCACTACACAGGAAGCGGAGGGGAAGGGTGGGGGAGGAGAGGGACTGGCAGGAGGAGAAGCAAGCTGGCAGAGTGTGAATGAGGCATTGAGTGGCCCATGAGGCATGAGGCACGCTGCCTCTTTCCTTGGAATCCTGATTCCTGGGAGCCTGTTCTTACGTTTCCCTAAGATGGCGAGTAATGCTTTCTGGCTCTGCTCCTTCCTTTATTCTCTCGACAGCCTCCCTGGTGGCTGGCAAAGGCAGAAGGCTCTGTGGTGTTCTTGCACTTGCTTCTGCGTCTGAGAAGGCCAGCCATGGAATCAATCTCCTTTCCTTCTCCCCATCCATGTGCCTAAAGGCCTAAGGCAGGCCTGGGGTTCTCAGAACATCTAGATCTAGGGCTACTACATAAAGTACGAGATTCCAGTTAAATTTGTGGCTCTGGCGAAACCCAAATTTCACCCAGTGTCTGTCTTTCCTCTTCCTGGGCAAGTGACTTCTGTAGCTCAGGTAGGGAAAAGTCTAGAGTGGGGAAGGACTTGACTAGACCACACAGCCTGCTTTCCTGTAGCAATAGGTGTTCTCTCCATGGTCTCTCTCAGGTACCTAAAGGTCTACCTGACTCCCCATTGTCCCTCCAGACTAAGCTAACCTTCAGCTTGCACAGTGCCCTGGGAGGCAAATGCATGTGGACAGCTGCAGGAGATTCCCTTGCTCTCCACCTTCTTGGCAAAACTATTTCTCTGCTCCTCTCTGAGGCATCCCATGGGGGGCTGAAGCCCACTTTGAAGGCCACAGCTCCAGTGAGCTGGCCCCGTTCATGCATTAGGTCTTTTTTTTTAAACTTTTATTTAATGAATATAAATTTCCAAAGTACAGCTTATGGATTACAATGGCTTCCCCCCACATAACTTCCCTCCCACCCGCAACCCTCCCCTTTCCCGCTCCCTCTCCCCTTCTATTCACATCAAGATTAATTCTCAATTCTCTTTATATACAGAAGATCAGTTTAGCATATATTAAGTAAAGGTTTCAATAATTTGCACCCACATAGAAACACAAAGTGAAAAATATTGTTTGAGTACTAGTTATAGCATTAAATCACAATGTACAGCACATTAAGGACAGAGATCCTACATGAGGAGTAAATGCACAGTGACTCCTGTTGTTGACTTAACAAATTGACACTCTTGTTTATGGCATCAGTAATCACCCTAGGCTCTTGTCATGAGTTGCCACGGCTATGGAAGCCTTTTGAGTTCGCCAACTTCAATCTTATTTAGACAAGGTCATAGTCAAAGTGAAAGTTCTCTCCTCCCTTCAGAGAAAGGTACCTCCTTCTTTGATGACCTGTTCTTTCCACTGGGATCTCACTCGCAGAGATCTTTCATTTAGGTCATTTTTTTTTGCCAGAGTATCTTGGCTTTCCATGCCTGAAATACTGTCATGGGCTTTTCAGCCAGATCTGCATGCCTTAAGTGCTGATTCTGAGGCTAGAGTGCTGTTTAGAACATCTGCCATTCTATGAGTCTGCTGTGTATCTCGCTTCCCATGTTGGATCATTCTCTCCCTTTTTGATTCTATCGGTTAGTATTTTCAGACACTAGTCTTGTTTATGTGATCTCTTTGGTTCTTAGTCCTATCATTATGATCAATTGTGAACAATGCATTAGGTCTAAGCGGCTGCTCGCTCTCTTTCCTCCTTGGGCTTCAGCATCCTAATGACTCCCAGGTATTCTTTGCCATGGGGATAATCTAATCCCTCTCCCCACGTGATCGTGTTTCCTCCCAGAACTCGCAGTGCTAGAAGATGGATGTGGGAACTGGAATCGTATCTCAGGGTTAATGTTTATGTTTCTATTCATGTCCTCTGGTTCGTTCTCATCTTCTAGGGTCTTCCTTCTTTCAAGTGATTTAGGATTTGGGGTCAGGACTGAATTTCAGTATTTTTGCTTCTTGCATCCTACTTCTTACCTAGTAATAGTATTTTAATATATTATTTCTTTCTCTAAAACCTCTTCTAAGATACATGAATATGGCTTCAATTTGGCAGAATGGTGTCAATTATACACATCCATACATTACTTCATTTAATGTTCTCACCTTCAAATATTTTCGGTTCTAATTTCACTCTCAGAATTAATTCATTAGGAACCCATCAAGAATCTGTCACATATTCTGCACTGCTTTTGATTCTGTGTTGAAAGTAAGTAATTATTCCACATGCCCTTGTCCTCTCTAAGTAATAATCTGAGCAGGGAGATGAGACAGGTCCCCAGGAGATTCCAGGAACAGAGGCGTGGGCACAGTTGCTGCAGTTAAGCCTCGGCTCAGATGGTCCTTACTGAGACCAGCAGATTCAGACACCGCTGGGGAATGCGTTGAAAGAGAGAAGGACAGAGTCTTTTCAAAAGCTTTTTACATTTTAAAAAGTTTTAAAGGAAGAACAATTCTGTGTGATTTTTTCCCAAGATGATCTGTCTGTTAAAGCAATGAGTAGTGCTTAAGCGGCAGCTGGGTTTTACAGTTGTCAAGGACGACGGGCAGGATGCAGCTTACAGGGTTCCTCCGGGGCATCTCCTGGCCTTACACTACTGTGCCCATCACAGACTCTCAGGTCATATAGCTATCTGTTCTTTTGTAGGCTGAGTTAGCTTCAAAAATATTCTCCTATTTCTAAAAAGCCACAGGTTAAATTTTGCTTAGAAGCGTCATGACGTGGGCAGAGGGTTACAGATGAAGGGATATGAATTTGCTGGATCTGTGTTCTGCGGAAGTCATTCTTCCAGGAAACTCTCTCTACTTGTCTTCAGTGAGAAAATTGGTCCTCACAGAGCCCATTTGTCTCCCCTCTCCCCCCAGTTTCAGCACTCAATAGCAGTTGAAAGCATGACTCAGAAGTCCTAGCTAGGAGAAAATGTGAGATTTTGTACACTGAGTAGTCATGAAAAAATTATCTCAGCTTTTTGATGAGTACATATATATTATCAGTTATGAGAAGGACTTCTGGATGCTTCAAATGCAAACGTGAATCTCACAATAAACAGGAGGAAGAATAGCCTCTACTTGTTTGAGTTTAAAGCGCCATACCTCAGGAATTGGTTCATTCACATAGACCCATTCTTCAGATCCTGGCTTAGGGGGCGGTGGTGCTACTGGAGTAGGTGGTATATCTGTAGAGCCAACAGGTGATTTCTTCACTTGGACTTTTCCTCCTGGGGGTTTTCCTTTAGGAGAACCTTAAATACGCAGATTATATCATTCTAATACAAGTAAATGAACAGGACAGACTTTGGGTTGAGGAAAAAATGCATGATTACTATGAACTCTTGGTAATTCATTAACTACATTTTAAACTGCATTAGGCAGCTTTACCAAATAAAAATATATATTAAAAAAACCTCAGTTCTGCAGAGCCCCTAATTTATACTAATAAATACTAAAAATAGCAAACAATCCAATTTTATTCATCTAGTTGGCTATTAAACACAATTTGATATTTTATTTTCATCTCTGAACTTGCTTCTATGATAAACTCATAACTCTTACAAAGTTTAGATTTTAGTGTAAAGAATATTGTATTTCCTATTGAAAAAATTAGCAAGTTAAACCTCCCAACCAATGAATGAGAATGAGGGCAGCTAGAACATTGGTGCTCCATTGCCCCTTGGAGTTCGGGAAAGACAGCTAGGAGGAAGGGGGATCTTGTAAGAGTCAGAAAGAGTAGGTGAGGGGTGAAGGGGAGAGATGAGGGGCCAAAGAAGCTACTGAACACTCCCACTCCGCTTGCCTGTGACAACAGTTTCTGAGGTTTTGCACTATATGTTTTGCACTATAATCATGGAATAAGCCTGGCTGCATCAACACATAAGAGAGAGAGGAGGGTAAAGAACGGAAGAAGGGAGGAAAAGAGAAGTCAGCAAAGTGAGAGGGGGGAAAGCAAACAGCAATTAAGAAAAGGAGGAGGAGCCGAAGGAGGGAGGGCGGGGGGATGGTCTACTTTTCTGTTCTAGAATCTGACAGCATTTCCAGGGAAATTTAGATCTGTTAAAATGATACTCTGGTCTGAACAACCTTGTTCTTCAACTCAGAGAACACTGATTTTCCCTGAATGGGTCAAGGTTATTATAGTTTAGAATTTTACTTTGTTTAACTTGCACTCACCTTCAGATTAAATATGACATTTGTAGGTATAATTTATAGATGCCTATAGAAATGAGAGCATGTTTTATTTCCCCAAATATGTTTTTAATGAGAATGATTTAATGATAATACTGTTTAAAAAGCAAATACAGCTTCTATTTTTATGTTAGTTAAAATACATGGAAAGTAAAGGAGAAATAGTCAGTTACATATTAACAGTTTGATTTCTACTTATACATTTACAAATATTATATATTATCCATTGATCTGATGTTGTATCAAAATTTTTGAAAATTTAAGAAAAAATTTTGTTTAGACAGTATCCAAAATATTTATAATTAGACATATTTTTCTGTGTATGATGAGTTTTTCTTCCTTTGACCTATATCTCTGATGAAATAAAAGTAATAAGTCTATGGTCGGGGCTGGCGCCATGGCTCACTTGGTTAATCCTCTGCCTGTGGCCGGCATCCCATATGGGCGCCGGGTTCTAGTCCTGACTGCTCCTCTTTCAGCCCAGCTCTCTGCTGTGGCCCAGGAGGGTGGAGGAGGGTGGCCCAAGTGCTTGGGCCTTGCACCCGCGTGTAGACCAGGAAAAGCACCTGGCTCCTGGCTTCGGATTGGCTCAGTGTGCCGGCCGTAGCGGCCATTTGGGGGGTGAACCAACAGAAAGAAGACCTTTCTCTCTGTCTCTCTCTCTCTCTCTCACTGTCTAACTCTCTCTGTCAAATAATAAAAAAAAAGGGCTATGGTCACTTTAAGATGAAATTCTCAAGCAGAATTCCTAAGAAGGACTTTGTAATTATAAATCAGAGCTGAGACAAGTTTCATTTTCTTCTTTTCTTCAGTATACAGTTCACTTAATAAAAACTATGAAAAATGGGGGGTATATTTTGGGGCCACTTTGCTTTTGATTCAATATAACTTTTACCTAATTTTTAAAAAAAAGATTTATTTTATCTACTTGAAAGACAGACTGATAGAGAGAAGGAGAGACAGAGAGAGAAGCAGATCTTCCATTTGCTGGTTCACTCCACAAATGGCAACAACAGCTGGGGCTGGGCCAGGCTGTAGCCAGCAGCCTGGAACTTCCTCTGGGCCTCCACATGGGCCCCAGGACCCAAGTATGGACCTATCACCTGTCGCCTTCCCAGGACCATCAGCAGGGAGCTGATCAGAAGCAAGCAGCAGGGACTTGAACTGGTACATTGATATGGGAAGCCGGTGTCACAAGCAGTGGCTTAAACCACCGTGCTGTAATGCAGGCCAGCCTTATGTATCTAATTTTGAACAATGAAAATGCTAAGGGGCAAAAGATTTGAATGGATGAAAATGAATCTATGCCATAGTGAATGAAACAGAAACCACTTTTAAACAAAGCTGTTATTGCATTTAAATGTAACAAAGGTCACTGCTTTTTAACCATATGAAGACTTCCCTTTCTAATAAGGTATTTGTTTAATTTATAGTTACTTAATTGAGTCCTTGCTGTAGTTACTCCACATAGATAAAAGTTTTAGAGAATTATCTATGATTATCATATGATACAGATAGACATGAGTAGATTTTTTTTCTTTTTGAAAGATTTACTTATTTATTTGGAAGTCAGAGTTACAGAGAAAGGGAGGAAGAGACAGAGAGAGAGAGATCTTCCTTCTGCTGGTTCACACCCCAGAGGGCCAAAATGGCCAGGGCTGAGCAAGGCTGGAGCCAGGGGACAGGAGCTTCTTCTGGGTCTCCCACATAGATGGGGGGGGGGGGCAGGCACTGTGCTATCTTATGCTGTTTTTCCCAGGCCATTAGCAGGGATCTGGATTACAAGTGGAGCAGCTGGGACATAAAAAGGTGCCCATATGGGATGCTGGTACATAAACAGGTGCCCATATTGGATGCTGGCATTGCAGGAAGCAGCTTTACCCGCTGTGCCACAACGCTGGTCCCTTAAGTAGATATTGGAACATGTACAAGTAAGAATTAAAAGGGCAAGAAAGAAAAATACAATTTTAGGACACAGAATTTATTTAATTGATATCATGAGTAAAGAAATGGTCATGAAAGATGAAATGGTTTTGAGCAAAGGAAGTAACAGTAGGAGCTTAGTAGAGGTCTGAAAAATTCAGTTAACAGCTGGAATCAAAATTTAAAAGCAAGAGAGTAAATAGTCAATTCTAAGATAAGAGTACATCAACTGAGAGTAGGACATTAAGAAAACCAGAACATTTTAAATGAAATATGTATGATTCAGGGAGTTCAGAGAATTGGAAAGTGAGAACTTTAGGAGAGAGGAAAAGATATGGAGAATCTGATTTTTTTAAAGAAAGGCATTATTACTGCCTTTCAGTCCTAAAATATTTTCTCTAGAATTCGATTTATTTTATAGCTTCCTTAGGTAGAAGCCAGAAGATTGGTTAACAGGGACAGATTTCTTATTGCTCTGGGGTGAGCTATGTTCAGCCAAAAGCAACTTTCCGCTAATATATAGTGTCAACAGCTGCATTGGGTTGGAAAGCTGGCAACCAAAGTTGAGATTCAGGATGTCTTAGATAAGATGGAAATTTTAGCTTAGAAATGGGGCAGGTTGAAACTACACAACCAGAAAGAGGACAGTATAAGCCAAGAAAGTGAACACGAAACAGCTTTTGCCCTAACTCATTATTTTTTAAAGAATTTTTATTTATTTTATTTTATTTATTTGTTACAGAGTTACAAAAAGAGGTAGAGACAGAGAGAGAGGTCTTCCATCTGCTGGTTCACTCCCCAGATGGCCGCAACGGCTGGAGCTGTGCCGATCCGAAGCCAGGAGCCAGGAGCTTCCCCTGGGTTTCCCACGTGGGTGGAGGGGCCCAAGGACTTGGGCCATCTTCTACTGCTTTCCCAGGCCATAGCAGAGAGCTGGATCGGAAGAGGAGCAGCCGGGACCAGAACCGGTGCCCATATGGGATGCTGGCGCTTCAGGCCAGGGCGTTAAACTGCTGCGCCACAGGCGGCCCTGCTCTAACTGTTCCTTTCTCATAGGCTAACACTTCCTTATTTAATTTGACTCATTATCTTCATCTTTGAAGATAACTGTAAAATGATAATTTCCATTCCATAGGTGATTATGAGAAAGTGTAAATTATCCCTTATAGAGTTTGGCACATAGTCAATATTCCCAAAGGAGGAATTTGTTAGTATGATTATGAGTCATATTAAAAAAGAAGATTGTGACTGCATTTTGCTATCTGAACATGATCATAAATTGATCATCAACATTTAGACTTGTGGCATCAATCTTCATATGAAAACAGTGTACTCTGAATTTGCTGTAAAGTCTATTAAGACTGTGTACATTATGCCATGTATTGTCCTCTGTTTAATGTCTCAGGTGATAAAAAGCTATCTTAAAAATTAATCCCAGATCTCACTCGCAGAGATCTTTTGCCAGAGTGTCTTGGCTTTCCATGCCTGAAATACTCTCATGAGCTTTTCAGCCAGCTCCGAATGCCTTTAGGGCTGATTCTGAGGCCAGAGTGCTATTTAGGACATCTGCCATTCTATGAGTCTGCTGAGTATCTCACTTCCCATGTTGGATCACTCTCCCCTTTATTTACTCCATCGGTTAGCGTTAGCAGGTACTAGACTTGTCTATGTGTTCCCTTTGACTCCCAGTCCCTTCACCATGACCAACTGTGAACTGAAACTGATCACCTGGAACAGTGAGATGGCATTGGTACATGCCACCTCGATGGGATTGAATTGGAATCCCCTGGTATGCTTCCAACTCCACCACTTGGGGCAAGTCAGCCTGAGCAAAGAAGGAGGTACCTTTCTCTGAAGGGAGGAGAGAACCTCCACTTTGACTATGACCTTGTCTAAACAAGATAAGAGTCGGAGAACTCAGAGGGCTTCCATAGCCTTGGAAACTCATGACTGGAGCATAGGGAGATTACTGATGCCATAGACAGGAGTGTCAATTGGTAAAGTCAACAACAGGAGTCACTGTGCACTTACTCCTCATGTAGGATCTCTATCCTTAATGTGCTGTACATTGAGATTTAATGCTATAATGAGTACTCAAACAATATATTTCACTTTGTGTTTCTATGGGGGTGCAAACTGTTGAAATCCTTACTTAATGCATACTAAACTGATCCTCTGTAAAAAACAAAAAGAAAAGAAAAAAAAAAAAAGAAATTATCAATTCCCAACTTGACTCTCACTGGGATTAAACATGACAATAGGTCTGCTCTGATTTCATCATCATTTAAAAAAATCATCTATTATTTTTCACTTTATGTTTCTGTGTGGGAGCAAACTGTTGAAATCCATACTTAATGTATACTAAGCTGATCTTCTGTATATTAAGATAATCGAAAATGAATCATGATGTGAATGGAAGGGGAGAGGGAGTGGGAAAGGGGAGGGTTGTGGGTGGGAGGGACGGTATGGGGGGGAAGCCATTGTAATCCATAAGTCGTACTTTGGAAAATTATATGCATTAAATAAAAGTTTAAAAAAAAAAAAATTAATCCCAGAAAAAGTTACCTTTTCTTTTTTTGTCTTTTAGAACGGGTACATCTCTTGTCTGGGGATGTGAAGGAAGCAATCTAATATGCTTTTATCTTCCTCTTCATTGCCAGGTTAGTTTTAGTTTGATGAGTCAATGAAATAAGCATTGTATTGTTAAGCTGGACATGAGGATTCCTTTAAGGCTTTGTATTTTTATTTCTATTATTATAGCATTACTATACATGTATTTTAATTGATATCTAAATTAAATATTTTTGAAGGGGATGTATTATAAATATCACATTAGAAGTAACTGAATGCTTGATATTCCCATGGCTGTGACACAGCAGTAAGCCTTGGATTCCAGTAGATGAATTCTCACATTTTAATGATCAATGGAGTCTTCAGAAGAGCTTGTTGAAACACAAATTTTGGGGCACCCCTTCTAGAGCTTTAAATTCAGTAGTTCTGGGGTGAGATGAGTATATTTATTAATAAGTTTCTAGGTATTGTGGATGCCATTTCCACAGACCATATTTTAAGAGCCACTATTTTTATAGATGCCTCGAGCTACTTCAGTTTCATTTCACCTTTGTCTTTTTCCCTTTGGTTCTTCCACATCATTTTGATTAAATGCATTAATGCTTGTAACATTGACAATCCACTTATTATGAATTTACTGGCCTGATAGCACCCACAATTGAAACTACAAATCAAATCATAAGACAAGCACTGGAAAAATACTAATGCAAGTAATACTACATGGGGCAGGCCATTGGGACTCAGAATGACATTATTTCTGAATGTTTATTCCAGACACTACATCTAGCAGATACTACTCAAGGGAACAGAATTCTGCTGCCAGAATGATCTGGGATCTTGCAGATTATATCTCCCATTCCCTTGGAGACATATGGTGACACAGAAAGCAATCTTGTAGTTAAAAACATTTTAACATTATATAATTTTGTATTTTTTGAACTTACTTGGCTACAGAAAAATTTATCAATTTAGCTCCTAATGAACATTTCCTAGGTAAGGCTCTGGTGTTGAAAAGCCATTATTCCATTATTGCAGAAGGAACATTAACAAGACACTGGCAAATGCATTGAAGAGGATAAGAAATACTCTGAGCACATCATAAGTACAATCATAAGTAGAATCTCAATGTCAAAATTTGGAGAGAGAAAAGTAGATTGTTAATACTCAGAGAAGAATATGATTGTGTCAAAAAAGCCATGAGCAGGAAATAATGGTAAGTGTGAAGAAAGGAGAGGAGATATGGCTCCTCAACTTATATGAAATACTTTAAACATAATTGGTATCAAGTGGCTTGTGAGACGAACAACCAATTAGTAGTGTTCACCATCAATGGTGTTCATTTTAAATACTAGGAAATAAAATCATATAATGTTTTACCCATGAAGGCGGTCCTGTTGTAAGTACCAAATCAACATTTTTATGTAAAAGAAAGACTTTAAAGTTTTGATTGAGAGTTCATTTATTTCAAATATTATTTAACAATGTAGCCTAGTAAAGCACAAGCAAAAAATATTTGGAAGTCTTTGGAGTTAGTTAAATTGAGTCAACTACATGTCTCCAATGTATATATTATCCTGTTGAATGTGTGTGTTTGCTTATGGTTTCTGGAGCTTATATGCTTTTGATTAAGAATGATCTTAGACATGCACATTATTATGTCTAATTGGATAAGTGTATTTAATTCCAAGTATAACTGTATTTAATTCCTAATTTGATGATTATATGATGATCCCTCATTTGCTGTTTTAGATAATAATGAGAAAGCAAGAGATGAGTAATGTAAAATGTGAAAATTACTGTTAGCAAATTAGTAGGCATTGTGCATCAATTATAGCATTTAAAATTTTAGCTAAAATTTTTAAAAATATTGTAAAAATTTATTTGAAAATCAGAATTACAGACAGAGGGAGAATTGAGAGAGAGAGAGAGAGAGAGAAGCAATATGAAATTTTTATCTCAGTGTTAACTCACCAACTGGCTCTAGTTACACAAGCCCAACATGTCATATAATCAGCGCACAATGATTCTGAGAATCATGGTTAAACAGGGGTACTTCATAAAGTTCATGGAAATGGAATTACAAGGTAAGTATATTTTGGTGCAAAATAATTTTCAAGTCCACACACAGGTTTTTTTTTTTTTCACACACAGGTTTTTCATAGTATCCATAGTCTATGAACTTTTTTGAAAACTCCTCATATATAGTTGAATGAAAAAAAATCCTTTTTTTAAAGTATATTACTTTGTAAACATCACACACAGTTGGACTACAACTGCATTGGTAATATGTAATGAATAGTTAAAGGTATATATTTGATGGAAACGTCAATTGAATTTATCCTGGAATAAGTCAACTCTGTGTATCCATAAGTATGCGTCAATCTAAATTTGTTGCTAGCACAGCTTAACATAAACTTAACCTGCCTTTTACAACCAGTGATTTTTTTCCTACAAACTCTAAATTACTTCAAAAAATTATGTCTTTATAAGAATTAGTAAACCTAAGGTCAGAAAAAAATCTAATTGAAAATAGAAGGCCAAAATTAGGATAGGAATTACAAGGAAGATATTGGAATCTAGATCCTTGCACAGATAACAAACTTGAGCCATCAATTCGGGTCTGAATTTCCTTATAGCTAAAACTATTATTTATACATGTAATCACTTAGAGGAAGAAAATTTTTCTTGTTCCTTGATTCTGAATGAAATTTATCACTTAAAATTTCATAAAGGTGCCTCTGAATGCAGTAGCAGGCATATTATTCCTTCAGAAAATGTAATATCAAGGAATGACATTGTGGCACAGGAGGTTAGGCTACTGCTTGAGACACTGGCATCCCATATCTGAGTGCCAGTTTAAGTTCCAGCAGCTCTGTTGCCCTTCCAGCCTGCTAACAATATGTCTGGGAAGGCAGCCCAAGATAGCCCAATTGCTTGGGCCCCTACCCTCCATGTGGGAAACTGGAATGGATTTCCTGGCTCCTAGCTTTGGCCTGGTCCAGTCCTGACTTTGGCAGCCATGTGGGCAGTGAAACAGCAGATGGATGACTCATTCTCTCTCTCTCTTTCCCTCCTTCCCCTTCTGTTACTCTTTCAAATAAATAAATCTTTTTATAAAATGTAATACCAGGTTATTATTGGTAGAATCAAAATTTGAGCTCCACTGCTATGTTATGTTGTGGAGGAAGTTGAGGACTTTATACTAAATTACTTATAGGTAAAAGAGGGTCCAAGAACCTACAGTTCAGTATGCAGCTTCCAGATATGGAGCTTAGCCCAAGTAAAACACCTATAATACTTTGATGAGAGAGTATTCTGTATACTATTCTCTAAACTACTCTTTGCAAGCATCACTTTTCTCATCAGGGGCTTTGCTAAAAACTAGGATGAAGAAATTCTGAAGTTATATTCTTTGGCAAGGCTTATGATTGAAAAATGGCTGTGAGAAGTAGGCAATGTATACAACTACACGAATCTACCTGTATAAATAGTTATAAAATGCAGGATTACAAGTAATCATATCCATCGTTATCTGCTGTGCCATTCATTCAAGTGTAGTCTCACCTTTCTTTCCTTTTCCATCCTGAAGAGAGTCTTGCTTACCAGGTGAAGTTTCTAAACAAAATTCAACAAAAAATTACCATTGAAGATTTATGTCAAAAGTTGGGCTATAGGAGTTCTAAGCAATCAAATGTTACTTCTCACTGATCAACACTGACACTTGAGAACTGCATAAAATGGTTCAGTCTTTATTGTCAGTTAAAATTAATCTGAAGATGAAAACTAAATGGAGATATCTTGAATAATAGTCCTGATTGTACTATTCTGTTTATCACATTGAGAATTTTAGCCCTAACTTTTATATCAATATTTGCTGATGGATTTGATATTTTTAATAGAACTGGCTGTGGAGTTTTTAAAGTTAATCACACATCTATTTGAAGCACATGGCTCTATTTAGATTTATTTCAACTGAACAGTCCTTGTGCAATAAGATAATTAGGTCTATAATAAAACTTTTGATAAGGTGTATCATTGACTTTCTCTTGATCACATAATTGGCTGCTTTATGCCTTTTACATTTTCATTTTGCATTGGCTATAATTTGTAATACAAAGGATGATCTGTACATATTTATCTTGGATTCTTTGGAATCTAATTAAAAATATATTGGGGTTTGCTGTGATGCAGTGCGTTAGTCCATCCACGTGGGAGGCCCACATCTCATAAAGGAATTCTGGTTCATGCCCTGGCTACTTTATTTCAGCTCTCTGCTGATGTGCCCAAGAGACAGCAGATGACAGTTCAAGGACTTAACTCTCTGCCACCCACATGGGAAACACAAATGGGTTCCTGGCTCCTGGCCCAGCCCCAGTTGTTGCAGTCATTTGGAAGGATTGGATGAAAGATTCTCTCTCTCTCAAATAAAACTTTAAACAATGAAAAGACAAATCAGAAGGAGAGAAATGGGAAACCAATGATCTAGAAGCCAGAAAAATGGGTCCCAGATAATAAACAGGAATAATTCATCTAGGCTGCATTCTTTGCCAGATAACTTGAATCATTTCTTCTCCTTTGGTCAAGGGCTACAGTTTTTATCTTATTGGAAGTATGGGCTTGTATGACAATTTAAATGCCTGTGATGGAGAGATACCATCTAATCTGTTTTTTTAAAAAAATATTTATTTATTTATTTGAAAGAGTTACACAGAGAGAGAAGGAGAGGCAGAGAGAGAGAGGAAGAGAGAGAGAGAGAGAGGTCTTCCATCCATTCATTTTCCAATTGGCCGCAATGGCTGGAGCTGCGCCGATCTGAAGCCAGGAGCCAGGAGCTTCTTCTGGATCTCCCACACCGGTGCAGAGTCCCAAGGACTTGGGCTATCTTCTACTGCTTTCCCAACCCATAGCAGAGAGCTAGATCAGAAGTGGAGCAGCTGGGTCTTGAACTGGCGCCCATATGGGATGAGGGTACTACTGCAGGTGGTGGCTTTACCTGCTGCGCCATAGTGCCGGCTGCTCTATTTGTTATATTTAGAAATGATCATTATAAGAATGTATAAATTCATAGCATATATATTTACATTTAAATATCTCCAGTCTGATAACCAAAATTCCATAGAAATACAAGTGAAATGACAAAGAGAAAGAGTGCCCTTGAAACTTTGTTAATCTCTCTAGAGCACTTTTAAATGCACAAATAGTTGACTACCAAACCTAAATAAGGAAGGGAGGTAGGGAAGAAAGGGAAGGAGGGAGGGAGGGAGGGAGAGAAGGAAGAAAGGGAGGGAGGGAAGAAGAGAAGGAAGGAGGGAGGGAAGGGGGACGGGAGGGAGAGAAGGAAGGGAGGAAACTAGCATTCACTCTGTCCATTTTTAAAATCTGCTCCAAAAATATTATGATATCTCAAAAAATTCTTCAATTACAGCATGGACAGCACTATTCTATTTTGTCATAAACTGAGAAATTTATTTCTAAACTAAACGCTGACATTTGGTAAAGGGTTTGATAATAAACCCTTCAATGGAGCATACCTTTTCAAATTTAGTCCTGAGTACAGGTGAAGCAGACATAAAATGCAGAACTATATTTGGTCAAAATGACTGTTAGGACTTCGTGTAGTATGTCTACTTCTCTATCTCATATCCATCCTGATGTGTGTGTGTGTGTGTGTGTGCACGCTTAGTATATAATTTCTCTTTTCATCTCAATTCCTACAAAATACTCTAACTGGATGTCTGAGTCAGGCATGTTCTGAGTTAGGCATGTTCAGAAGCTTTCAATTCAAAAAAGGTTCTCTTTAAAAAAGAATGGGGTATGTTTGTGTACCTTGCTGGAAACCTCTCCCTAAAGTCTTGTAAGTGGACTTCTGAAGCTGCAGTACTGTGTGTTCCACTGCCCAGTCAATGCCCATGTGTACCAAGATTAGCCGCCAGTAATGCACATTTGTTCAATGGGAATAATTAGGACCTGAAGATGAACATTTCTATGCATTTTTAAAGGTAAGGCACTATCCCTGCCTTGGCAGAAGAAAGAGACAGGTACAACCACTCTTTGATGCAACAAGAGATTTATTATTCCTACAATGCACAGCATTCAAGAATACAATGTTAAAATAGCAAACAAACTTCAGAAAGTTAAGGAGGGAACTGTGTCAGAATCAGAAACATTAGAGATTCATTTCAGAGAATGGCTTAAATACAAAGATCCTCCTGACTGTGAACAAGCCAGGCAGGAGATGGCTGGGGGTAGAGCTATTGCCACAGGCTAATGGACGGTATTGGACGATTCCAGGCTCACTTTTGAGCCACTGTGAAAACTTATTTCCCCATTCTAAACCTCATTTTTAAGATTTCCATTTATCCCTCAGACCTTTCCATTAAAAAAAAAAAAAATTCCAAACGAAGTAGTGGCAAATGGGGTGGTTATTTAATCGATATTTTTTTAGGGTCTGTGAATTTTGTTTTTCGTTAAGCCCCAACTTAAATGAGTAAAATGGTTATTTCATAAACTATTATATATGTTACTAAAATCTTCAAGTATCTATGTTTAAAATGAATAAATTAATTTTTAAAAAAATTCTAGAATCAGCTCATATCTCCATGAAGCTGAAAGACTATGGGGTTTAGAGATACGTCATGATACATCAAATTTACCTACATGGACTTGTGTAACTACACAAGCAGCCATGTGTAAAGTGAAACAAGAAACCAGATCCATGTGTTTCAAATGCACATATCGAACTGCTACTGATATTCTATCAACATCTCATATCACAGCAATGGAGCACTCTACCTTCATCATTACCCTGCCTACCATTTCCTGATAGACCATGGCTCCTGGTGCTGAAGGATCTTGAAATAATTTAAACCAAAATAAACACTCCCTACACAGGTTTTAGCTACCATATCCAGAAATGGATGTTTACGGAGATGTCAGGAGCTTGCTTCTACATTTTTATAAGCACATGGCCTGGCAGATGCACAGTTCCGCACAAATTCTACTCTCTAATAATCCAGCTCATTGTTCCCTCATTCCTGGGGACAGTTAGCTGTGCACCTGCTCACTCTTGATACAAACGTCATTCCACAGCTCAGCAAACAGACAGCGTTTCCCTGACCTGCCTTAAGTTACTCTACACTGTTCTCATCTGTGGTCTTACTCTAATCAGTAGGCCGGCCTCAGTCTGATAAATCTACATCCTGCCTACACAGGGAAGACCCTGGGCTTTTGGCAACCACTTCTTAGCTATTAAGAGGGTTTTTCCACTTTCCCATGGATGTACAGATTTGTTTCAAATGGCTCTAGTGGCCCGAAGCCTGAATCTAGACAAATAATTTCTAATTCTTCCCTAAGTGAAAACAGAAGCGGCTAACGTGATCATCAATCACTGGGTCAATCACCTGATTGTGGTTTTCCTTTTGCAGGGGGCGTTTTTGAAGGGTCCCGCTGCTGATGAGTTTCCTTCTCTTTTTCTGGCTCAGGAGGAAGAGGAGGAGTAGGGGGTGGAGGCTCAGCCAGCGAAGCTGCTTTTTTCTCAGCTTCCTTTTCTTCTAACCTTTTCTCAACTGCAAAAAGATGTACAGAACGGATCTCTATTAGAGACTGCAGATACTACTATTCCACTTGAACCAAGAGAAGTCTAAATTAATATAAAGTTATACTTACTGATTTAAAGCTAACGCATTTTTAGTGCTCTCCCTTCACTTATCCTGTCCTTAAAATTAATACTGAAGCTCTCTATTCTTGGACAGAAATAATAGTTTCCTTGTCGCTTCATGGGGTTAGTGATGGGTGTGGAGGTGGGGGTGAGGGTGGGGGTGGTACTGGTTGTAGAAGTGGTGATAACTGTGAGTGATGATGGTGGCGGTGGGGAGTTGTAGTGAGCATGATGGGGGTGGTAGTGATGATGGAGCCGTTGGCAACTGTAGTTTTGTGTGTGTGTGTGTGTGTGTCTGTGTGTGTGTATAGAGCAGATAAACAGATTAAGAAAGTTGGTACCAAATGTAACAACAATTCGGAAGTAGCTAATAAAGAGGAATAGAAAATAGGGATTATTTTTAAATTTCCGGTGAAAATCAAGGTGAAAAAAGGACAAAGAAAAGATGAGGATCAATGTGAAAGAGGCGGCGGGGAGGGGGCAGAAGACATGAGTGGAGAAAGATGTGCAGCACTAACTTAAATACATACAAAACACTTAAACAGTACATAGTACGTGTGTCTTAGACATTTATTCATTCATACAATGACTATTTACTGAGCTTGAGTTGTGCCTTGAAGGAAAGAAAGGTTATAACCATAAAGTAAACTGCTACTAAAGATAACAATAATAATATTAGAAATGACATTAGATACAAGTTCTGGTTGCCAGTGGTACAACAGTACAGCAAAATGGAAAAATGAGTGGCCCTGTGAGGCTTGCATTCTATTGGTATGAGACAACTCAGAAATGTGATGAATCAGTTAATTTACACAAGGGTTAGAAAGTGATAAATGCTATGGAGAACGCAAATAGACCGGAGTAAGGGGAATCAACCGTGCTGCAGAAGAGCTTTCTAGTTTTAGGCAGGGTGCTAAACTGGGTAGCCCACCAATAAGGCAATGCTTGATGCCTATGAATGTGATGGAGGGGTGCTCTGGCCCAAACATCGTCAGCACGGAGCGTGGTTTGTGTCTTTCAGGGTTACTGTCATGGTTACACTCTTTGTCTTCATTCATGTTCATTCACCATCTCTGATGCCCACAGCGTCACCAACAGGGCCACTGGCAAGGAGACCCTGTGCTCGTTGGGCGTGTGCTCCCTCAGGCCTTGGGTTATGATTTTTCAATTCACAAGGAAGAAGGCTTCACTCAATGCTGTTCATTCAAAGTGGAAATTGGATATTTTTTCTGATCATAAAAGTAAAATATAATTATTGTTTTAAAAAAATCCAAGAATTTAGACAAACATAGATAGAGGAGTTGCTTATGAAGTATCTTCACTCTTCTTCCCCTACCATCCAGTCTTATCTAGACAACCAGACTCTTCTGTGCACATATATTTATGCCAAGAAACTGCAGTTGTCAACATAATTAGAGGTGGCTACTGAACAAAAGGAAAGATTTCTTTCCCAAATCGTTTCTCAAAGGTAAAATTCCAATAGACTTTATGCATTAATCAGAGCTTAAGATTCCTTTTATTAACACATTTCAATACTACTATGAGAGGTTGATGGGCATTCATTATTGTTTGAATGAAGGAGGAAAGAGATCTAAATGGTTTAATGTGGGTGTGATATACCCCAAGAGTGGGTTAAAAAAGAAATTAATAATTAATACATTCAGATCAAAATATGTAGATATTGGGAGATAAAATTCTCCTTAAAGAAGAATTCACACATTGTTTCTTTAAATTGCTGAAGTTAACAAATTGGAACTTTACTCTGTTTATAATATTCTTGATTTTTATTTTAAAATAGTTTCTAATTTTTATTTTAAAATATTTTCTTGACAAACAAGCATCATATCTATTCAGGTTACACCATGTGACAGGTTACCCAACCTTAGGTTTAACTCCATTATTTTTTTTCCTACATGGAAACAATATTTTCAAATATAGGACCTCTTGGTGAAATTAAATTAAAAAGAAGAGAAAAAATATTTTATTCAGAAACATATTCAGCAGAAAGCTAAAGTCAAGGCAAAGCATACTTGCTGATAGTATAATCCAATACAAATAAATTTGCAACACACTTTCATTTCTCTATAAACTTACTAAAACCATGAATTTTAGTTATATAGTTATATATAAGTTCAAAATTACAAAGAAATGTAATTACCTTTATTCTTTTTTTTCATTATTTCAGTTGCAAATATTTCTTTTACTTTTTGACATAAAGAGTTTTTATCTATTTCAGCATTGATTCTTATCAAAATATTTTCTGGCTCTGAAAACCATTGCTCCAATAAAGGCCAGTTGTCCAAGAAGCCTATAATCCTGCAAAATCAAAATATTACATTAATATCATGATGATTGAAATATTTGTGTGAATAAACAGTAAACATGGCATTAAGAACAATTCACTAAATATACATAATGGAAAAATGGGCTGCCAAGAGCATTGAATCTGAAAAAGAAACTTTGTTCTTAAAGATTTATTTATTTATTTGAAAGGCAAAGTTATAGAGAAGCAGAGGCAGAGAGAGAGAAGTCTTCCATCTACTGGTTTACTCCCCAAATGGCTGCTATGGCCGGAGCTGGAGCTGTGCTGATCAGAAGCCAGGAGCCAGGAGCTTCTTCGCAGGTGCAGGGGCCCAAGGACTTGGGTCACCTTCTACTACTTTCTCGGGTGTTAGCAGAGAGCTGGATTGGAAGTGGAGCAGCCAGGACTGGAACCAGTGCCCATATGGGATGCCAGCACTGCAGGTGGTAGCTTTACTCGCTATGCCACGGTGCCGGCCTCAAAAAGCAACTTTTTAGAAATCTACACAGACAATGTAATATTATCACTTTAGATAAGGAAGAAATTATTTAATGCCTTCAAGACATATTTTTAAACATATGAAACAGTAAAAGATGTGAAAATGCCCCCATTCAGGAAGTCTTTGGTGTTTGAGTCAAGCTGCCTGAGAGAAATCTAAGGAAACATTACTCACTCTAACAGAAGAATAACTCTGAGCATTCGGATGGTGGCTGTAGACCCACGTGGGCCATTGGCCTTTTCTTAGAGACAGAAATTGAAGAGACCTCTGAGTAAGTATAGGTGGATCAGACTTATTTGCTTTACTCAAAAGTATTCTGGGAATGGTTCTGGAAATGTTTTTTTCTTCCTGGAGAGTAGACAGCCTTAATGTTGCTAAAATTACTCTCCTTTGGCAGGCTTCACATTTTTAGACTTTTCATGGTTTTATAAAATTGTATAATTTTGTATAAATTTTCTTTCCCAATGGCAAATTGCACACTACCAAAAGAATACCACAAAACTTCATTTTTTGCAAGACCGAAGTAGTTTTAGAACTAACCTCTGTAGTTTAATGCCTGGCTCTTTGAATTTCCATGACCTTCACTGGTGTTTCCTTAATGAGGGCTCAATTAGGATTCCATATAGCTGACTTCTCAGTTGACGCAACCATACAGGGAAATGTTGCCTGATTTAGTTCTTTTCCTGGACTGTAATGACCCATGCTCTGAATGTGGAAGTTAGCACATGAATATTTCACTCACCATTAATACCTGTTAATGTTTATCTGGAAAAGATTGAATACCAGGACATAAATCTTTCTTCTAGATCTGATGATTCCAATGGGGCTGCCTGTTAGTCTGCTCAAAGAGAAGAAATCAAGAAGTAGAGCATTTAGTTTAAAACTCACCTGTGTTGTATCTGGTCTCTCAAATTAGGATCCACATCTACATGCTGGCTCTCAGCAGCTGCATGCTCACTGGTATCTTCATGAGAAATTACACGTGAAAATTCTTCCGCTACGGCACAAAATTATGTAATTAGATTCTGCTGAATCTATCAACACTGGTGCTTACTGCCAAAATATACTGATGCTAGATGTCAGAGAGATACAGCTTTGTCTTTGGTACAGTATTACTAAAAATGTTTAATAAGGCGTTAAGAGTATCGTTTTGAGATAAGAATTCAAAGTTTTTTTCGAAATTGGAAAGAATGGAGCAAAAACCATTTAACATAAGCTGTAGCTTCAATGTAGAGAAACAGGACAAGAACGAAAAACAATGGATTATCATAGATAGCGAACTTAGAAAGCAACCAACACTATGATGTAAAAATTAAGAATAAAATATAAAGATGTCCACTAAGTCATATATGAGTAAAATATTTTGTTTATATTACAATACAATAAAGAATTGCTTCTTTCAAGATGTTATGATCTACATATATAGACATAAAGGAATAGATCACAAGAGATAAAAAAATAGGTTAAACATCCTGATTTAGTCTTATTCTAGATTAACAGTACAAAGTTCAGGCTACTCATAAATTTAGAACAAATGGAAAGTCATACAGAAGAAGGAAGGACTTGAACTAGATTAAAAGGAATAAGAATTGCTGACTGCATGAGAACACTGAAGAGTAGTAAATCAATGGCAGTCAAGAAAATGAAGAACCCTCATAGGATATGGTACTCAGTTCTCCATCTACATTCATGGTAGAACAAGGTGAAATGGATTTAGAATACAAAACAGTGCTTTAAGGTTATTTATGAAAGCCAGAGATTATTGACATCAAAATGGGTGACTGAAGAAAATTGTTGGAGCCCTTCTCAGGAGAGGCTGTCATGTGCCATCTCCACCTCCCATTAGTCAAGGACTTCAGCACCTGGCTCAGGGTCAGCTTCCTCTCCCCCCTACCCCTGTCAGGCATTGGCACCTTTCCTTTCTGGAACTCATGACCTTGGCCCCTGGATTTTCTGATCACCCTGAGAGGCGCCACCTTTGCAAGCCTAAGGATCTACATTCTTACCACAAACTCTTCTCCTTCTGATGCTCCTGTGTAGATGATGCATCCAGTCCCTAAATTCCTAAGTTTCTCCCCAAATTCACCAGCATTATCCTACTAACAACCTCCATTGCATGGTTGAATCCTTCATCTTTTTTCAATCACCTAACAACTTAAATACCTGCGTCCTGATACACCGGCCTTGGATGATATTCATCTCTTTTCTCCAAGCCTTATGAAGGTAGCTATCTTTGAACAAAAATATAACACCTTCAATTCTCACAAATCACCTGGCTTAAAAATCAGCTGAGCTCTTTCCTACACATGCATTCTGCTGAAAGTAAATAAAGAGGAGGAAAGAAAGAAAGAAAGAAAACTAATAAATAACTAAGTAAATACCTGGCCATCATGGTTTTTTTTAAAAGATTTATTTATTTATTTGAAAGTCAGAGTTTCACAGAGAGAGAAGGAGAGGCAGAGAGAGAGAGAGAGAGAGAGAGAGAGAGAAAGAGGAGAGAGAGAACATATTCCCTGGTTCACTCCCCAGTTGGCCGAAATGGCCAGAGCTGTGCTGATCCAAAGCCATGAGCCAGGAGCTTCTTCTAGGTCTCGCACATGAGTGCAGGGGTCCAAGGACTTGGGCCATCTTCTACTGTTTTCCTAGACCATAGCAGAGAGTTGGATGGGAAGTGGAGCAGCCGGGACTGGAACTGGTGCCCATATGGGATGCTGGCACTGCAGGCGGTGGCTTTACCCGATTTGCCTCAGGGCCAGCCCACCATGGTTCTTTGTATTTTCAGAGCTAAGCTTCCTGCAAGTTATCTCCCACCACACTCCCACCTCCTCATCTCTCATTTATGTCTGAACCCACCTGCAATCCCTTCTTCCCACTCCCACTCCACTGAGATAGTTCTCATTCTGGTCACCAAGTGCATGTTTCACTCTTTAGTTTACTCAATTTCCCTGTAGCGTTTATAGGTAAAATTTAGCACTCAAGTATTAAATGCTTTTACAGATACTATATTATATTTATAACAAAACTTACAGAATGATTAAATTTCTATAACTGGCTTCAAGTTGCACAGTTTACAAATTTTCGAGATATGATTTGATTCCAATCATTCTGACTTCTGACTCTGACCTCCTCAGAACATTTTTAGCACTGGTATAGTTATGAGTGCTAAAAGGGCCCCACAGCAGATATTAATCTAACATTTATAGTGTGCCAGGCCCTGATACTACAAAATGAAGGGCAAGTCCCCATTATGGTATAGTTCAAAGGTAGTGTGAAAAGAAACAATTATTATATTGTAATTATTTAGTCACTGTTCCATGTAATGGGCGCATAACAAATAATAATAATAGGTGTGCCCAGAATGAGGAGAGATTAGCCAGACCCCACAAAATGGAGCAAAGGAGAGAAAATGCATTTGTAAGGCTTGGCAGGTGAGCATTAATAGTTCCTCTAAAGAATGGCAGTAGGGCTTTGAGGTGGCAAAGTCTGAATGAATGACAGAAGTAAGTGTGGAGAGTCAACAGGGGCTGGCTCAAGAGTCTGGTACTGAGCTAAGTTGTTCAGATTTTATGCTGAAACTGTGTGAAGCCACTGAGTAATACTGCAGCTAGATTTAATGCAATTAGATATGCTTTTGTAGTATCATTGTTCTGGCTGCAGTATAGAATATGAATTGGAAAGAGAGGGAGATTGCATGCAATTATTAAGTTGGAAACCTATCACCATTTGAAACATAACAAATACTTTAAAGATAGCAGCAAGATTCAGAGGAAGAACTGTCAGATTCAAGTGGTTTTTGCAGGAAGGGGGAGCAGTATACTACAGAATTTAGTCATCAGTTGGGATGGAAGACATGGCACAGGGAGAAAGGGATGACTTCAGGTTTTGGACTTGTACAACTTCTGAATAATATGAACAGGTTGAGCTTGAAGAGCCCATGGTACATTTAAGCTGTGGTTTTCAGAAAATGGGGAAGTTCGTAGTAAAGTTGAGACTTCTAAGAAAAAGAAGAAATTCATCCAGGAAGAAAATTGAGAGAAAAAAAAAGAGCCAGATTGTCATGCAAAACATCAGGGTTTAATCAAGAGAGGAAAGAAGTGTTTAGAAGCAGCAACTCGAAGGAGAGGAAGAAAGCCAGGAAAAGGAATGTCTCATAAGTTAAGGAAAGACAGTTTCTCAAGACTCAGGTGTTATCTGTGCCCTGCCCAGACCCGTGGGAACCTAAAGTCCTGCCCAGGAGTAGTGAGGCCGGGTGTGGAAATCCAGTCACTAGGGCTGAGTGCAGCTTATTATCCTGAAATGCTTGGGGTCTGTGGAGAAGCCTCAAGAACAACAGGGAAGACACTGCCCCCAAAGGTCGGTGGGCTGCAAAGGCTGAATGTGAATTCAGCGAGAGCTGGGCAGAGAGGCAAGGTCTAAACACAAACCCAGCAAGGCAGGAGACCAAGGAAACCTAAGGATAGGAAATAGCCTTTGGGGAGTAAAAATTATACCAGATGGAAGAGTAGGTGGCTATCTCAGCTTATTATCCAGAGCTGAAAGCTCAAAAAGAAGAGTTTAAAATTGAGAAATTGAACTATTTAAATGCTGACATCAACTTCAGAAAATTTTCCAGAACCCCTCTCATCATGTAAATTTGATAGAAAGAATACAAAGTGGATTCAGTAATATTTAATAAAAAAAACTCTTGCCAATGGATTGCTTTCCACTTCTGAAACATATAACAGCACACTTCTTATGGAGCACCAAGAGGGGGGAAGCAAATCTTTTGAAGCTCTTGTAGGGTTATGAGCTTCCAGGGATCCTACCACACAAAGGTCTGTATGTGTGCTTTAGAACCACTTGTCATATCCACTTCCAACTCAGATTGATCTCGATGTTCAGGACTATGGACTGTTACCAGACAGCTATGGATTAGCAATGTTCTTAGCCAATCCTCAGCTATCCACTGAACAGGAAAGGGAAGTCAGTCAAGCAGGTAGAATCATTACTGCTATCAGCAGTAAGATACTTCTCACTTCCTTGGATAGAGAAAAGAAAATTCTCCTGTTTACAATATGATAGATAGCATCCAGTTTAAACTACTGGGTTCAACAGCTAAACTAATATGCAATGGTTTTGTCTTTAAGTAAACAATGAGAGCAAGATCTCAAATGAAGCACTTATGCTTTGAATCCCCATCTATAAAGCACTGGACATGATCTTTTAGATCTCTCCTAGCCCTGAGTGTTGCATTAGTAGTACCAGCAGTAATAAAAGAAGATAGAAGTCATTCAGTGTTAAAAGGTTCTTTTTTAAAAGCTAAAATCAAGATTCTTAAACAGATGTAAAATGAACACATGTCAAAGCCATAATTTGACTCTTCAGCTAATGAGGGAACCAGTAAGATGTTAACACTGGTTCAAATGAGAATCTGTATAGTAGACACATTTGCAGTCAATCAAGAACAATGAAATAAATGATAATAGATGAAAAACTGGTTACTGTCTACAGAGTATATAGTACTTGGAATCATCTTTTTGTCAATGTAGAATGAATTGTGTCTCAACAGAATTCATTAGCATTTGTATGGGCAAGAGTCATTGGCAATACTATAAATTTCCTGTGATTTATGGAGGTAAAGAGCTGAGTCAAAGCTGATGGTAGAACAGGCCCCCATGGAATCTGGTATTTCAAAGGCCCCCATAGATAATACTCAGCCTTATCATGAAAGGATATCTCATAATCTTTTGTTCATTCCAAAGGCTGCCACAAAATTTCCTGATGTATTTACTACGTATTTATTATGTACCAGATTCTATCCTAGGTGTTTAACTCTTATCTCATTTAATACTGATAATAATACAATGAGCCATTCTGTCTTTTATGTTGTAAAACAGAGGTTCAGAACAATGAAGTTACTTTTCCAAGGTTAAAGTTGGAAAGCCATGTCTAAGAATAAGTGCTTTTATCCACAACTATTTAATTTGTGGGATGAAGTAACATTTTCATTTCAAGGATGAAAAATATCTAAATATGCAATGGATGCTTCCACCAGGATTTTTCTGTCCAATCATGTGATGACTTCAGCCAAGTGGGACTTGCTACTCAGAGTTAACACATAATCCAAGGGAAGGATTGTACCAGATCCCTGCTTACAACACAGATTTGGTTTGTGACCACCCACCAAGATGTACTAGATGGCCACAGAGAGCTCCTCCATGTAGGCAAGGCTCATAAAAGCACCTTTGTGCCACAAGAGCAGCCAAGTTGATGCAGAGGTTTAGTGACATATTTGCAGTTGGCTTAGAATTCTCTACTCTCCCCAGGCTTGATCTGCGGTAGAGAATTTAACTGTGAATACCAACATTCAAAGCAAGAGGCAACTGTGCCCAGCTAGATAATCCTCTGAAAGGTTAAAATGAATATCGCCTCACTCACTCACAATTGAAAATGCTGCGAACACTTACTGATTCAGTCAACTAAAAAAAAAAAAAGGCATCTTGATCATAAAAATTCTCTAAAAGAAAGGTACAGCTTACCCATGACATCATTCATGCGACTCAGTGAGGAATTATCAGAAATATCTAATAGTATAACAAAATCAAATGCAGAAGAGGGCAGAGGTACTTCTTTGGAAGTTGTAGGATCCACAGCCAGTGTAGATATTTGTGCTGCTTTTCCTTCTGCTTCCATGAGGTATCTGTTGCAGCCTGTGAGAGTTTCCTCCAGAAGTTGAGCTTGGTTTAATGTCATTGGAAAACCATCAAGGATCCAGTTCTGATTCACAGGTATCCCACTAAATGAAAACAGAACAATCCATTGACATTGTGAGAGAAACAAGTACTTTGGAAATGATAACACATTGAATCTTGTTTCCTACATACTGCAACTATATCCTCATCCTTCTATGCACTTCAAAACTCATTCACAGGAGCCTTTTGAACTTTTTTCCCCCATCCTGCTTAGCCTCATCACTTTATTATATGGATCAACTGAGACTCAATGAATTTTTAACATTTTCTTCCTTTCCCGCATTACAAAAGAGGGCTGAGAGAGTCTTTGATCCTTAGAAAGGAGGATGAGGCAGATTACAAAGGCACAATCTTTCAATCAGTTATCATCTCTGTGCTACTCACACATGGAATTCCTGTGCACATCTACCCTATCACAACCTTGCTGCCCTAGCTCTGCTCTCTTCCTTTGGATTCTTGTGCCCAGTACCCTGGCCCCTGCTTTTGTAACCCAAAAAGAGGAAGCACAATGACCTGTGACCTCACAGTTAGAGTCCTTTCCTTCCATAATCTGTCCCTTGGCTTTTTCAATTGTCTGGTTTCTCATAAACTTCCACAAGTAACAGAAACTGATTTGTATTCATATCCAGGTATAAGAAGCCAAGGTTGGTAAAGGCAAGGAAGTAAAATATAGGCAGATAAATCTCAAAATAGATCTAACTTTGTATTACTGTATACTTCCTTATGAGATGAGTAATATTTATTAGATATTAAAAACAAAAGCATTCTATATGATTATTTATATGTCCTTAAGTGATAAAGACTACATAAGAAAGACAACCACAATACATACTTAATAGCGTTTACCATGATGTTAACCAGCAACATGTCTGGAATGCTCTTTCCTTTCTTCAGCAATTGTTCTGATTTTGCACCAAGCTGAGCCCGCACAGTGAGCTGTGAAAATAAATATCAAACAGTAGTAGAAGGCAGCTAACTTAAAATTCCAACTCCAATTTTTTTTTTTTTTTTTTTTTTTACAGGCAGAGTGGACAGTGAGAGAGAAAGACAGCGAGAAAGGTCTTCCTTTTGCCCTTGGTTCACCCTCCAATGGCTGCCGCGGCTGCGCGCGCTGCGGCCAGCGCACGGCGCTGATCCAATGGCAGGAGCCAGGAGCCAGGTGCTTTTCCTGGTCTCCCATGGGGTGCAGGCCCAAGCACTTGGCATCTCACTGCACTCCCTGGCACAAGCAGAGGCTGCTGGAAGAGGGCACGGACAGAATCGCGCCCACCGACTAGACGGGTGCGCGCCGCTAGGCGGAGGATTAGCCTAGTGAGCCGCGGCGCTGGCCCCAACTCCAATTTTTTTTTTCTTCTATTTTTGGACAGGCAGAGTGGACGGTGAGAGAGAGACAGAGAGAAAGGTCTTCCTTTTCCGTTGGTTCACCCTCCAATGGCTGCTACGGCCCACGCGCTGTGGCTGCTGCACCACGCTGATCCGAAGCCAGGAGCCAGGTGCTTTTCCTGGTCTCCCATGGTGTGCAGAGCCCAAGCACTTGGGCCATCCTGTACTGCACTCCCTGGCCACAGCAGAGAGCTGGCCTGGAAGAGGAGCAACCGGGACAGAATCTGGCGCTCTGACCAGGACTAGAATCCGGGTGCCAGCACTGCAGGTGGAGGATTAGCCTATTGAGCCACAGCGCCGGCCCCTCCAAATGTTTTTAAGACAAAAATAATTAAATGGTCATGCTCTCTGATGAAGATACTGATTATTAAGTACAATTCAGGAGTCAGGGAAGCATTTCAGGAAAACTTTTATGCAGACTTAGAGGCTCTTCCTTCTTCCCTTGCAAGATCTTCCTCTTTAATTTTCAGCTGTGTTGGCATCCCCAGACTTCACCTTCTGATGCCTTAAATCAGAAAGACTGAACTCACTGCTTGAGTTTTAGGCATTCTTGCCATGCAGTCTGGCATATCTTCTGAGGAAAACCTGTTTAAACATGGCTCTTGTTTCATGAAATACTATTGTTTCAAAGACCAAATTCTATGTTTTCTGCTTGTTTTTAGGGTGCTGGCTTGTTTGCTGCCTTGTTTTTTTCCTGTCTTCTTTTGGTCCCTGCTATGGTTTGGACATGGCTTTTTCCACATAGGTTCATCTGTTGAAGGCTTTGTCCCAATTGTGGCAATGTGAAAGGTGATGATAGAACCTTTAAGATGTTGGGCCTAGTGGGAGGTGGGAGGTCACTGAAGGTGTCACTCTTAGAAGGTACTAATGCTGGACTCATGGAGTGACTTAGTTCCCAAGAAAGTGGGTTATTTTAAAAGAGTATGCCTGATCCAAGTCTCTCTGGCTTCCTCATACTTTGTGGTCTCTTCCTCTTGCAAGTATACCCATTGTGATGATGTCATTCACCACGAGGCCCTCACCAGAGCTGAACACAAGTTGGCACTATGTTCTTCAAGTCTTTTCTTTACAAATCACCTAGCCTCAAGTACTTTTGCTATCAGAGAAAATGGATGAATATAACCCTAAAAAATTAACTCCTATGTTTTGTCCAGAATTTATAATTGTTACTTGTGGGAAGACAAGTCAGATATAAGCTATCCAAGTTACTGAAGAATGGGCTCTTGGTGCAGCCCATTCTTAGCTACTGGAGTGAGTAATATACTCAAAACTCTGTAAGACAATGCGTGGCTTGTGTTTTCCCCTCCCTCCCTCCTGCTCTCTCTTCTTTCCTTCCTTCCCTCCCTCTCTGTGCTCTACCACAGTTTGGGTTCTCCTTTCAGAAGACAAGCTGAGTTTCTCAAGAAAGATTAAAATGCTCATTGATTAGCATTTCTTCTTCCAGGATTATTGAGTTACGGATAATAAACATGTCTAAAAACAGACAACTTTAGAAGTCAAGGAGTTTTTGGTTAAAATCCATGGAAAAGAGTTTTCAGAATTAATTTATAATTCATTAGATTTATATTTATAGTATTTTTTAAATAGAATTATCTCTTTAGAGACAAATACCTGGAATAAAGAAATAAATGAAAAATCCAACTGCTATGGGAGAACTGTATGACCATTGTTAACCTATATGTTATTTGGTGATGATACAACAACGATGATGAGTCAGGAGGATCTGAGCTTTATATGAGAATATGAATAAACTATTTAATAAGGTAAGCCTTCACAGGACAAACAGGAAAGATATCTACTCTGTAAAATTGATGCTAGTTTTACTTATAGAAACACATAGTAAACTGTGATGTAACCTGTCTTTCAAATGGTTTTAATTACTATGTAAAATACAGCAACTGCTATTTTGAAAATATAATGGAACTTGAGAAAATAGAAAATTATCTTAAAAATAATAATCCTAGAAGTGACAGTCAGTCATAGAAAAATAAAGAAAAAATGTAGGTTACCTATAATTCTTTTGGTTAAAATAGAAAGAGTGTCACAACATGGGAGAAGATATAGCCACACCAGAACAAAAACTCCCAGTTATTTTTAGAACTCATGGTTAAGTGTAATTTAATTTGTAGCCCGTGCCAAAGATCTGCGTGAATGCTCTGCCAATGTATGCAACTGCAGTAACCAGCATAAGGTAAAGAAAGGAGTACTGGGCTCAGAACCTAGAACCCCAATCAGAGAGTAGTCATCACCTAGTCCTTCTTATCCTGAGCAAACCAATTCATCTTAGGGTTTCTACCATGACTTGTGTGAATTGAGGGGGCTGAGCCATATCCATGATTCTCAAAATGTAATTCTCTTATGTAATCTCACCCTTCACTCCAAGAATCTTGATGCAATAATGTAAAGAGATGCAATGCAGATGAGAATGTGATGCAAGTATATCTTGGGAGTGTGAAATAGGTGAACTATACAGAGAGCCTCTCCTACCTCCTCCAAACTGATCTACTAGTCTGAATCAGGAATAGGCATGCTACAGCTTCTAGACCAAATATCTGGCAGGCTGACAATTTTTATATTGTTCTTAGACATCACTCAAGGATCCTAGTGCAGTGATTCTGGAAATAAACCAGGTGTTGTCCTCCATTCCAGCATAGGGCTCCAACACCTGTGTGACCACTTCCTGGGGCCACTATGATCTCCAATTACACGTTGGGGACTCTGGTGTTGGCAACTGCTAGGCACCGAATGATAGGATCTCGGCTCTAGAGTTGGTTACTTCTTGAGTCCCCCAAAACACTCATACTGTGTATCTCAGCCACTATAATTCAGTTACTCCACCCATCTCCACTTACCAGTCAGTGGCTCTTTCCTTAGGAGAATGGTGAGTCTTCAGATAATAGCAATTGGAAATAAAGTAAACCACCACTCCAGTGGTCCACCTAGTTAAGCTTGTGGGGGTGGGTAGAGTTCTCTGTCTTTTTAGGGAAAAACTCACATAATAGCCTCCATTTTTATCCTTTGATCCATCAAACCTAAAATGTTCATATTTTCTAGACCTTACAGAAAAAAGCGTCTGGTCTAGAAGATCTTTGGGATTTCATTCAGTTTTAAATCTCTGGTGTATTGGCTGCACATGAACAAACATCACACTTGCCTGATCTTCTTTCCTATCCTCTTGAGGAATGGATGAGGCCTCACTGACTTTTTCGTTGTCATGATATGCTTGGATAGCTTCTTGGACAAGAGTGTCAATAGAAAGTATCTTAACAGGGAAGTCTAAAAAACAAAAGATAATTTTAGAATTAGCTTCTCATTTGGGAAATTGATGCCATTGTCTTGATATTCTGGTTTTACCCTTCAAGACTGTCTTTTGGGCACCCTAGAAACAGCTACAGTCAAGTAGGCTTTTATTATTATTGAAGAAAAACTTACATAACTTAAATTTAACCATTTAAAAAGTACAATTCAGTAGCATGTAGATATTCACAATGTTGTACAACCATCACCACTGTCATGTTCCTGAAATTTTTAATCACCCCTTGTTAGTGAAACTAGTGCTGTCTTACTTAAGCCTTGGGCCCCATTTTAGGCTCTGGCCCAGTCACCATCTTGTATAATAAATTCTGGTCTCTCCAGAGTAAGTTTCAGTTCCTAAGTCCAGTTTGGCTTACTAGAAGTCAGGTGACCAAATGATCCAATCACAAGCGTCAACTCTACCCCCACCCTAATGGGATTTGCTATTCCCACTTCCTTATCTCTGCAAGGTTATAAAAAGACCTGTTTTTCCTCTCTCTTGCCTGTGAGGGTTCCTTCCTACCCCCATCCCCCAATAGTAAAATGATTCTTTTTACTCTGGGGTTTGGTGTGTTTTGTGGTGGCCTTTTGTTGGTGCTGTGACTTGGATCCAGGCTCTCTTGTTGACCTTGCTCTCCCCTCAGGGATCTGAGCTGTTTTGGGATTCTGGATTCCTGCCAACCACAGAACTTACCCCCAGACCTCCTTCTTTGTTACTGAATGCTCTGTGACTCCCATCCACACACTTGCCCTCCAAATCCGGAGCTAAATGGGGAACGGGGAATTCTCCCACTGTGACCTCTACTTCGGGTTGTGGTTTTGCTCTGCTTTGTCTTGAAGTCCCGGTACAAGGCATCACAACTCCTCTGGGCTTTACGCCCCAGATGCCAGTGGGTGCCAGTGAAGACCCCAGCCCCTGCTCCCTTACTCTCCTCATTGGACTCTTGTGATCTCGGAGATACCTGCTATCTACCAGTCTGACCCCGCAGGTTGCTATGGGAGCTTCTGCATCCCATGTTCCATCTGATTCTCCCCTTGGCTGTCTTCTAAATAATCTTGTTCCTCTCAAATTGGCCCCAGATCTCAAACACCATCATCTCATCTTTCTTCTTCTTCTTTGTTTTTTAAGATTTATTTATTTGAAAGGCAGAGTTATGGAGAGGCAGAGGCAGAGAGAGAGAGAGAGAGAGAGAGAGAGTCTTCCATCTGCTGGTTCACTCCCCAGATGGCCGCAATGACCAGAGCTGCGCAAATCTGAAGCCAGGAGCCAGGAGCTTCTTCCTGGTCTCCCATGTGAATGCAGGGGTCCAAAGACTTGGGTCATATTGTACTGTCTTCCCAGGCCATAGCAGAGATCTGGATCAGAAGTGGAACATTAAGGACTCAAACCAGCACCCATATGGGATGCCGACATTCCAAGCAGCGGTTTTACCCGCTATGCCACAGCGCTGGCCCCTCATCTTTTTTGTAATCAGGCATGGCCCATGTATGACCTCGACAACCAGTCCAAATGGCCGCTTAATGGTACATTTGACCCTGACAGTATTCGGGATCTCTATCACTTCTGTGAGCATTCAGGAAAGTGGAGGGAGATTCCCTTTGTCTGAGCCTTCTCCCATCTCTGTTCTGAACCTTCTCTTTACACCTCATGTTTTGTGGCTCACTCTTAAGTTCCAAAGCTCCCACTAAAAGGCCAAAACCCCTTTCTTCTAATTTTGACCCTGCAGATGAGCCCCACCATACCACCCCCCATCACAGGTGCCAGCTTAGCTTCTTCCTGTTCAGGCCCTGGCACAGTCACCTCCCACTCCTCAACCACAAAGCCCACCGTCCATGCTGGGCTGGCTCCAACTATACCTCCCCCTCCTGCCCAGAAATTCCAGGAAGTGGCAACTGTTTCTGCTCCCCCTGCCTTATCTCAAACCCAGTCCTCACTCCAACTTTCGCACTCCCCCTTTCTGCTGAGCCAGCATATTCTTCCTGCCCTGTCACCACCACCTCAAGCCCTCAACCCCCTTTTCTGTTCCCCAGTCCCCGAGTCACTAGCTCTCATGCAGCAGCTAGGGAGCCTGCCTCCATGCTGCTGAGAGGTGGCAGCAGCAAAAGGTACAGTCAGGGTCCACACTGCTTTCTCACTTGCTGATCTCTCACGAATGGAACAAAAACTGGGTTCCTTCACCTCTAACCCAGTGTTGTACATTAGAGTTTCAATATCTAACCCAGTCCTATAATCTAGCTTTTCACAATGTCTTTATGATCCTCTCCAATACCCTCCTTCCAGAGGAGCGAAGGCGAGTTTGGGAACAGGCCCATCTCCATGCTGATGAGACGCATCAGACTGACCCAGCCCATCCTATGGGTGCACATGCGGTCCTGGAACAAGACCCCAACTGGGATTATAATTCTCCCAATGGCATAATCGCCAGAAATTGTTTCATTATCTGCTTATTTGATGCCCTCAAAAAAATCCACCAGAAAGACAAAGTTAAAATGGCTCGAGAAGGGTCCATTAACTCCACAGGCAAAAATTCTAGAGGTGGCCTTTAAAGTATATAATGGGAGGGATGAGAGAGCCCAAAAGACAAATTTCAAATGCTGGCCAAGGCCTTTCAATAACCTGCTTCCTCCAGTAGCCCTGTTGACCACAGGGGTCCTCCAGGTCCATGCTTTAAATGTGGCCAAGGTAGCCACTGGGCCAGAATGTGTCTCAACCCTAGAGACCCACCAGGTCCTTATCTTAAATGTTGCCAGAAGGGCCATTGGGGGGTGGGCTGTCCTCTTATCTATTGGGTCAGTAGGCCATCCACTCCACCCATGCCCCGAGTTGACTTTCCAGGACTGGAACTGAGGTTTAGAGATACGGAGACTCCCGCCACCCAACTATGGCCATCACTGCAGGAGGCAGGGTAACTGTGATGGTTACAGGTAGGCCATTTTTTTTTTATCAGCCCAACAGCAACCTTATCAGTCCTTACCCAGTATTGGGGGCCTACTCTGCTGCCTCAACCTCCATAGTTGGAGTGGAGGGAAAACCTTACAGACCCCTACAGACTTCCAACCTGCTCTACATAACTAAAATGACACCCTTTTCTCACTCTTTTCTTATCATATCCCAGTGTTGCTCTCCCCTTCTGGAAAGATATCTACACTCTGTCAGTTTAATACCCAAATAACATTCACCCTCTGGCCATTAGCCCTGTCCTCAAGCCTGCCTTCACCTCTCCTTTCCTGTTACTGCTCTCTCAAGACAATCCTAGCCCAACTGTCCTGCCTACCTCAGGCCCCTGTCCCCCATCAATCCACAGGCATGGAACACCAATCACCCCATGATAGCAGCTCATCATCCTCCTGTACAGATTATTTCTTTTGTTCTGGACACAGGGGCCTCTTTCTTTCTGTTGACAACACTTTCAGACCACACTCTGGACCCCGGCATCTCTGTTTTAAAGGATTCTCAAACATCCCCATCAAAAACAAAACAAAACAAAACAAAACAAAAAACAAAAAACACTCGGACTCCTTCCCTGCACCTTTGGCTCCCTGACTCTGGCCCATGCCCCTAATGGGCAGAGACATACTCTCCAATCTAAAAGTCTCAGTCTTCATACCACCACTAGACTCTACCTCAATCTTTTGTCTACAACTCCACTCTTTCTGTTTGTCCCCAGATCTCCATCTCGCCCTCCCCTTTGCTTGCCCTGCTCCTTCCCCTCTGCGACAGCCAAAACTACCTCTTTCTCTTCCTAAATCCTCCTCTTCCATTCTGCCACCCTCTCCTCCTGAGTACAAAACATACTGTAAAGACTAACGATGTGCTTATCACTCTACAAGCCCTGCGCCTGGGACATTTCAAACTGCTAAGACAATGCACCATAAGCTTCACTGGAGAGCCTTTCTCTCATCCTTATCAGAGTCCTTGGTGTTCTACACCTCCCCAACAAGCAGCTCTACTCTTCAAGTCTGACTTCAAACCCCCAAGCTCACCCCTGCCCTCTGGGCAGATGCAGCTCTAAAGTCTTCTCTAAGTAGCCACCTTTTCATCTTTGGACCCTAAAGTCCTAGAACCTAACAAAATAGAGCCCCATCTCACTCTGCTACTCTGTTTCACATCTAAATTCTCTCTTCCACAAAGACAAAAATCTCAATTCCAGCCATCTCCAGTAATATATTTGATAGAGCTAACAAACAACAAACACAACTCAGAGACAGTGGTAAGTCCTAAACAACTTTGCTCCACAGAATGCTCCATGCCTAGCCGTCTTCTCTTTTCCCTGCCTTATCTAGTGACAGCAAAAGTCTCTTCAGTATTGCATGGACATAGAGGCTTGGCCTCTCTTGTAACCTAGCCACCTTGACATCTCTCCTGCCCTACACCAAAAGGGCCATAAAGCCGTGAGAAAATTTCCAGGAATTCAACACACATAAAGCCCTCTACCCAGCAGTGTTCCACACAGAGAGTTAAGAAAAAATAAAAATAAAGCCCCCTTCCCAAGACAACATCACCCTAAAAAATATTTCTCTCTCAACCTATATAATCAAGACTACTGGGTCAATTACTATTTTCAGACATATCTCCTTTTCCATAATTGCCCCTTATTCTGTCACCTATCAGATTCTCTTCCTTAAGAATCTCTCTCTCTCCAACCAGAGTGGTGTCTATCTGCTCTGATGGATGCCCTCCCCCATTAAATCTACCATAATGGAAGATAACCTCATACATAAAATTGTGGTTCATACATAAAATTTTGTAATTGGACATTGAGTTCAAGTATAAAAGTATGTTATTAGTGAAAAGGTTAAGACAGAAAGATAATTTTAAATGAAGAAAGGACAAGGCTTGTAAGAATTTATCCTAATGGCTAACCTAATGGCTAGTTTATTCTACACTGAAATGAAAAGCTATGAAGGTTTAAGTAAGTTGCAGAAGGTATGAGAAGTCATAGAAGGTTATAAAACAAAAATTTTTTTAAATACAAAATCTATCTATTTTTTTCTTTGATTAACATACAATTAAAATCTGCCCCTCCTGTCAGTTTTTGTTTGCCTCTCAATTAAAAAACTCCCTCCTGGTTTAGACAGCACCTTTTCTAGGTCCTCTAATAATCATCTGTCCTTTGTTTTAGCTCCTAAATATTTAATCTGCTTATTAGATCTATTTCTTCTAGACTTAAAACAATATCCTAGATGACCATGCATTTGAAACCTCAAATGGAGAGCTTTTGTGAGCTGGTGCTGCAGCCCCCTTGAGAAGCCATCTTCTTCTGAAACCCTGTCTTGACTACAGGTCTCTGTCTCACCCCTACATATTCACTCACCCAACAACCTCCGAGACTTAGTGAGCCATGAGACTTTTCTTTCTCTTTCCCCTTCCAGGGCCCAGATCCTACATGCAGACTCAATCTTATCCTTCTTGCCATGCTCCATTCTAAACCCTGTAACAACCCCCCACCCCCAACCATTACACCATTACTCCCACAGGGCCACTCACAGCCAAGTTTATCTGGACCTGAGCTCTATGGCCAACAGTGTCTGAAGACTTAGGCCCTTCACCATTGATAAACCTGCCTCCAAGAAATGGGTGAACACCCAGCCACCCGACGTTTCCAACAGTGGGTAAGTGCTGATCCTCTTACACTGCTACCAGCTCTTTCTACAACTTCTGTGGAAGGAATATTAACCACTTGGTTAATGCCACTTCTAGGACCGTTGGCTGCTATTCTCACCCTGGCTTGTATACTACCTTGTCTGTTTAAGTGCTTATAGGAGGTGATAATGAAATGAAAAGACTTATTTTATTTATTTGAAAGGCACAGTAACAGAGGAGAGAGGGAGAGACAGAGACAGAAGGAGGGAGAGAGATAGAGCTGGAACTAGAACTAGAGCTAGTGAAAGAGAAAGAGATCTTCCATCTGCTGGTTCATTCCCAAATAGCTACAGTGGCTTGGGCTAGACCAGGCTGAAGCCAGGAGCCAGGAACTCTCATCTGGGTCTCCCACATAGTCAGCAGAGGCCCAAGTAATTGGGCCATCATCTGCTGCCTTCATAGGCTTATTAGCAAGAAGCTGGGTTGGAAGTGAAGCAGCAGGGACCTGAACTGGCACTCAGATATGCCTGGGTCATAAGTGGTGGTTTAATTTGCTGTTTGATAATGCTGGCCCACTTGACTCATTTTTTAAACTTAATAATCATAGCCTGGACAATAACTATAACATAATTTAATTATAACACAGATGTTTCAGTTTTTCAGCAAAGCCTCTTACATGTTTTTCTGTAGATATTAGATAGATGCAGCTATAGTCAGTTTAGGTTATAATAAGGGGGTAATTAAAAAAAAATCCTACCTTTTTGTAGAGACTTTAGAGTGGTAGTTTTCCCACTAAATGTTTTTCCCAATACGCATCCCTTAACAGAAGATGAAAGTAATTCAGGTTCTGTTGATTCAACTTGAGGAGGAAGAGATTTTTCAACTAGTCTGTGAAGCACATGGCCTAATATGCAATTGTTGGAAGGTGGTAAATTTTCAGCCATTTCTTCTGGTAAGGCCCACTCCCCAACCATATTCTGCAGAAGTGACAAACAACAAAACAGAAATGTTTTTAAAAATAGAATTTAGGCATAGAAAAGATTTGAGTATTGAAAGCAAATACAATCTACAGCAAATAAAATAACTAGGGAAAGGCAACTGATCTAATGATTAAGCCACCACTTGGGACACCCATGCCCCATACTGAAATGACTGGATTCAAGTCCAAGATCTACTTTTGATTCCAGTTTCCACTAATGTACACCCTGGGTGGTAGCAGGTCATGGCTCAAGCAGTTGAGTTCCTGCCACTTACTTGGGAGACCTGGATTGAGGTCTTGGCTCACAGCTTTTTGCCTGGCCCAGCTTTAGGCAGTGCAGGCATTTCTGGGGTAAACCAGCAGATTGGTGCTCTCTTTCTCTCTCTCTGCTTCTCAAATACTAAATATTAAAATAAAAATATACTAAATACTTTATATTACATAAATGAATAATAACATCAATAATACTTTCATATTACAGTGCATAGAACTGATCATTTTATATGAAAATAAAAAAAAACTCAAACTTTTAGTATGTGAACACACACATACTGAGTTAATTGAGATATAATGTAATTATGCTGAGCATTACAATACTTAATGTTATCTTCAGCAACCAGATAAAATAGAGTAATAACTTATCTGAAATCTTATGCAAGTACTCAGCTTATTTTAAAATATTTTAAAGTGAAAAAGATAAAAGAGAATTCATGGACAATGTGGCATTCTCTATCATTTTCAGTTCCCATGTTCTTCAGGTTTTCTGCTGATGTAATCAAAGAATTGAAGAGAAAAACCTGTACAAAACACATTGTCTTATATCCCTGTATAAAATTAAAACTTTGAAAAATATAAATACTTAACATTATAAGTATAATTTCTGAGTAATTCTGAGATTAAATAGGAAACTAAGTGTTCAAGTCTGAAAAGGACATTAGAATGATATATTTAAAAATGTGGGATAAGATAAAACCCTATTTAGAGTAAAATGGCTAGCCCCTTAACCTAACATGCCTTGATGGACAATTCTTTTATTTAAGACTTATGTATTTATTTGAAAGAGTTACAGAGAGAGAGAGAAGCAGATACACACACACACACACACACACACACACACACATTGAGAACGGTCTGGGCCAGGCTGAAGCTAGAAGCCAGGAGCTTTTACCCAGTCTCCCACATGGGTGGCAGGAACCCAAGCACTTGGGCCATCTTCTGCTGCTTTTTCCAGGCCATTATCAGGGAGCTGAATTGGACATGGGGCAGCTGAGACTTGAACCAATGCCCATATGGGATGCTGGGGTCACAGACAACAGCTTTATCTGCTACATACCAGTGCTGCCCCCAACAATTTTAAAAAGTAGAAAATTCAAAAACTAAGCTATATAACAGGGAACAAAAATAATTTTAAAATAATCAGAAGAAACTATCAGGAACTCATAAAAATAAAAACAGAAATTAGTAAATTAGAGGGTAGGCCTGTTGAGATGCTCACTCTGATAAATTTCTAGGACTTACACATACTAATCATCACAATGAAATTCTACTCATCTGGTGAAGAACAGCAAGTGTCAGTGTTGTAATGTAACAGAAAAGAAGGTCCCAAGGAGACTTAATTACTAAGATAATATTACATATAATATTATAGTACATTTGAATTTGAGTACATTTGAATTTATTACTGTATAGTAATAAATGACATTCTAAGAAAGCATAAATGATTAAAGTTAACTTAAACGGACCAGTTAAGAAGATAGAAGCCATGGCAGAAATAGAAAAGTTGTCAGAGAACTATATCCAGCAAACTTGAACACACTAATGGTTTCTCTCTCTTTCTCTCCCTCTCTGTAATTCTGCCTTTCAAAAAAGTAAATCATTTTTTTAAAGAATACACTAACAGTTTACAGAAGAATTTTCATTCTTTAATTAAATGGGAATGTAAACATGCTTGAAAGTCTTCAAGATTATGGGAGTTCATTTGGAAAATATATAGCACTCATACAAAAATGTACAAAGATGAAAGGGTATTAAAGATAATTGAGAAAAACAACATTCAAAAAGGAAACCACAAGTCAATCTCACTTGAAAAGATTTCTCAAAAACCACAATAAAGTATTAAAATCAACATCATGTAATAGACAATGAAGATACCAATGGATGTTGACTGTAAATTCACTATACATCATGCTATTCTCATGAATTATCTCAAATTATTCTCATACAATTCTTACATAAGCATTATTATTAGATTCCCAGTTTGTGAAGAAGCAGAATCTGAGTATTACAGAGGCTAAGTTGCCTTTCCATGGTCACATTAGTCATAGCAGAACCTAGCCTGGAACCTAGGCAGTCAGATTCCAGAACATATAACCTATGAACAAACGCTGTTTTGAAGTTATCACATCATGACTGAATAAGAATTACTTCATGAAAACAAGGTAGGTTAAACATTAGGAAAGCTATTTTTAAAAACAATATATTTATTAATTTGAAAAGCAGAGTTACAGAGAGGCAGAGGCAGAGGCAGAAGAGAGAGAGAGAGAGAGAGGGAGAGAGAGAGAGAGTCTTCCATCTGCTAGTTCACTTCCCAGATGGTCACAACAGCCGGAGCGTGCTGATCTGAAGCCAGGAGCCAGAAGCTTCTTCTGGGTTTCCCACATGAGTGCAGGGGCCCAATTATTTAGGCCATCTTTTACTGCTTTCCCAGGCCACAGCAGAGAGCTGGATAGGAAATGAAGCAGCCAGCACTCAAACCAGCGCCCACATGGGATGCTGGCACTGCAGGTGGTGGCTTTACCCACTACACCCCAGCCCCAGCCCCAGGAAAGCTATTACCAGGTCACAATAATGGGTTAAACTTTTAAAAACAGCTATGGCTATTTTGATCAAGTAACATAAATTAAAAATTCATTTATGATTTTCTAAAAAGGAAATAAAAATGAAAATAAGATAAAAAAAAAACTCTTAATAAGCTATGGATTGAATATAACTTTCCTAGCAGTCTTTGGTCCAATATATAATGGTGAACCAAAACAACCAACATGTTTTTCTATTAAAGTTAAATACAAGAGAAAGCTGCTCACCATTAACACCACTACTCCCACTGTTCTCAAAGTTCTAGCCAGTGCAGTGGGAAAGGAAAAAGAAACAGCACTGTCCCCAAAAGTGATGGTGGCTGCTGAAAGCTGAGTTCTTGGTGCAGAGGTGAAAGCAGCTACAACCCGAGCTGTTCGTGTTCCACAGTGCTGGTGGCAGTGGCAGTGGCAGTCTTTTTGGAAGTCCTTGCTGAGATGGTTCTGGTCATTTTTCTGAGAAGCTGAACCTTAAGCCTAGTTCTCAAATCCATCTATTGATTCTCTGAACTACTGAACATACTTTCACTAAGTTTTTCCTGCTTACTGAGCAAGTCAACTTCTGTTGCTTGCAATTAAAAACTGATGGACTCACTGTCATTAACATTCTCATACACTCATATACGTTCTCATACTCTCATATACATTCTCATACACTCATATACATCCTCACATACTCAAGCTTCAAAGCTGTAATGAGGATTAAGAATAATAACTTGAATAAAGGGTTTTATTGAAAGATTTAAAATTATAAAACCCCCAATGATCTCCCAAATTAACAACAAAAGCACTATTGTTATTCCCCACCCAAAACCCAGTAGGGTGATATAACAAATTATTCTACAGTTAACGTGAAATTAGAGATATAATGGATTGAAATATCCACTCAAGAAGGAAAGCAATATGGTGGTTGCCTTGTCAGATATTAAAGGAACTATTAAGTGTATAGTACAAGAAGTAATAAGCTGCAGGAGCAGAATATTCAGTGCACAAAAATATAAGTTCTTTTCTTTTTTTTTTTTTTTTAACAGGCAGAGTGGACAGTGAGAGAGAGAGACAGAGAGAGAAAGGTCTTCCTTTGCCGTTGGTTCACCCTCCAATGGCCGCCGCTGCAGCCGGCGCACCGCGCTGATCCGATGGCAGGAGCCAGGATCCAGGTGCTTTTCCTGGTCTCCCATGGGGTGCAGGGCCCAAGCACCTGGGCCATCCTCCACTGCACTCCCTGGCCATAGCAGAGAGCTGGCCTGGAAGAGGGGCAACCGGGACAGAATCCGGCGCCCTGACCGGGACTAGAACCCGGTGTGCCGGCGCCGCAAGGTGGAGGATTAGCCTAGTGAGCCACGGCGCCGGCCAAAAATATAAGTTCTACATAAAGATCTAGTTATATAATAAGTCTCCAAAAAGGTTACAGAAAATTCACACTATGAAATAAGCATGCAGATATTTCAATTTTTACACCAAAATGATCTAATATTTTAGTTCCATTTTTCATGAACTTTTTGAAGTACCCTCATACATTAGAATTTAGCATGTAATAAGGTTTATATTTCACGCTAACAGAAATAATACATTGTTGTACAAATGGTATTTGAACAACTACTTATATATATTAAAAATATAAACTTAGGCATCCTATTCTTTTCATGAAAACTGATTCCAGAAGAATGAAAGATATAAACAAGAAATCATAAAGGCATCAAATTTTGGCATAAAGGCATCAAATATTTATGTATTTCAGGGAGTTTTTTTTTAAAGAAACGTAACACCAAAGCTGAAAGCTGCAAAAGAAAAGGTTGACAAATTTGATTATATAAAAAAATCTGATTTCTTTCTTAGAGGAAGGTGCGTGTCTTTGTTCAACTGTATGTATATGATTTAGCTCATTTCCTAATCATTTTCTGTACAGTACTTCTTTCCAAAATTTTTTTGCCCAAATTGGCTTATTAATAAGAATGGCATATTTTCATGTTAGTACCATGATTGAATAGATGATGAATAGTTTATAAATACTTCCACACTATAATTAAGGAATAGACTTCATAGACAGATGAGACTTCATACTACGTTTTTAATCCTTAATCTTTAGCCATTGACTAATGCTACAAGATGGTTCATTAAGACAGATTCATTATACATAAGGAACTAT